GAGCACTTAGGCTGTTTCCAAATCTTAGCTATGGTAAATTGTGCTGCTATGAACATAGGGATGCATATATCCTTTCTGGTTGGTGTTTCTGGTTTCTTGGGATATATTCCTAGAAGTGGGATCACTGGGTCAAATGGGAGTTCCATTTTTAACTTTTTGAGGAAACTCCATACTGTCTTCCATAGTGGCTGCACCAGTCTGCATTCCCACCAGCAGTGCACAAGTGTTCCTTTTTCTCCACATCCTCTCCAGCACTTGTCGTTTGTTGATTTGTTGATGATAGCCATTCTGACAGGTGTGAGATGGTACCTCATTGTTGTTTGATTTGCATCTCTTGGATGATTAGTGACTTTGAGCATGTTTTCATATGTCTCTTGGCTTTCTGAATGTCCTCTTTTGAAAAGTGTCTATTTAGGTCCTTTGCCCATTTTTTTATTGGATTGTTTATCTTTCTTTTGTTAAGTTGTAAGAGTTCCCTATAAATGTTGAAGACTAAACCCCTATCAGAGATAACATTCGCAAATATGTTCTCTAGGTCTGTGAAATATGCCATTGGTATTTTAATGGGTAGTGTGTTGAATTTATAGATTGCTTTGGGTAGTATGGACATTTTAATGATGTTGATTCTACCAATCCATGAACATGGTATGTTCTTCCATCTGTTTATGTCTTCTTCTATCTCTTTTTTCAACGTCCTGTAGTTTTCAGCATATAGGTCTTTTACCTCTTTAGTTAAGTTTATTCCTAGATATCTTGCAAATTGAATTTTTAAAACATTTAATTCCACCTACATAACAATTTTCTTTATTTTTATTTTCTTAAATAAAAAATACAAAAATATATTAAATTGCAAGTTTAATATCTTTAGTTCTTTAAAACATTTTAAATACCTAAGTAGGCAAACTTACAAATCTTATACACACACAGCATTTGTAAATCTAATGAGTTGGACTTACAAATTTAGTAAATCAAATTACCCTTCACATCAGCAGCTAAGATGACAGACTCATAGCATTTCAATTCTCTTTCGCTCTCTCTCTCTCTCTCTCTCTCTCTTTTTTAGATGAAAGAGCAGTATTTTTCTTTTAATTTTGATTTGAGCTTGAGCAGACAGGATTGGCCTTGATTTCCCTGGGCACTTGCCAAAACCCTAGCTCTTCATCTCTGTGTTGAATCTGTTAAATAACCACTTATATTAAGACCTTTTGGGCTACAGTTGTACCCAGTTCTGTAATAATTTTAACAGAAAGCATTATGCAAATATAAGGAATTGTTTCTGTTATTAGATCTAATCAATTCAGTAGTTCCCACTGGTCTTCTTCTTTCATGTCTTTCTCGTCTAAATCTCACAGTAAGGAGGGTAGGAGAGAGTGAGGCTGAGCTAAAGTGTTCCTGGGCTTTGATCTGTTGCAGAGCTGCTGGGATTGGGGTCCCCAGTGTTAGTGGTGAGAACCTAAAAGTAAGAAGAAGAAGGTGGAAAAAATTGGGACAGAACAGTAGAAGGGAGAAAAGTAAAGTGAGATGTCGGAGATAAAGAATAGTAGAGAACACAAATGGGAAGAATGTAATGAGCAAGAGAAAAGCAGAAGAGACATGAAGCTATACAAGGGGAAAATCAGAATATTTCACATACAAAATAAAAAACTAAACACTAGAAGAGAGCGATAAGAGAGGCAGTAAGGGAAATAGGTAGAGGGAAAAACTAAGAAGATATAAGAGCAGTAAACTACAGGTAGAAAATTGGAGTAGATTTTTTAAAAAGGTATCAGAACAGTAGGAGTAGAAATAATCAGGAAAAGATGAACATTTCAGACTTTTACTTATTGTCACATTCGGGGCTCTACTGTATCTTACTCCGGCCTTTCCTTTCTGCGACACTGTCCTTCTTATTATCTGAACGCTTGTGATGGAATTTCCTATTACCATGGTCTTAACCAGGCAACCAAGCCGGGCTGTTTCCCTGCCCTCATATTGCTTTGTTCCACCTTGACATACCTGTCCCACCCCCTCATCTCTGGTTGGAGAGTCGCCCTGGCCTGAGCAGGTAGGATGTTTTGTGGGTGCTGGGTTTCCCTGGCAGTTGTTGCGTGATGTAGCTCACAGCTTCACTGCTCACTTCTAAGCTGACACCACTAATGGGGAAGCCTGCCTCCCACTCCTGCTGACCCTCATCCCACTTGGCTTATTATTTGAGTAGTTTTCCTGAGGTTGGTTTAGTTCCCAAACACTTAATAAGGGTTCACTCCGCCAGCTCTGGTAGAATGGGGCCCTGGTTGCATGGGTGCGATTGCAGGGTCAAGGGCAGTGAGGCTGGAGAGGAGACAAAGCTATGATGTCACTGACTGCAGGACCCCTTGTTGACACCATTAGGGTTCTGATGCAATGTAGAGCAAGCATGTCAAACTCAAAGGCTAACACGGGCCAAATAAGGTTTAAGTTTATGTGGGCCGCAAAGAAACAAAAGCTTCAATTTTCATAGAAATGTAGGTTTATTTCAATAGAGACATGCTGAATACAAAGTGTTGAAATAAATGAGTCATCGTTAACATAAAATAATAGAACATTTTAATAAAAATTAATATTTTTTCTTGAACATTAACTTATCAGACACTGAATAACTGCACAAATTAATAAGCATAACGCAAATCGAAAAGGTCATCTTTCCCTGACAAAGGCGAGGCTGTTTCCTCAACACTGGGGGTAAGGTGTTTACTCTGTTCACAGTTGTCTTTAGTCCCTTCTAGTGTTGCCATCTATTACCATAGCAACTGCCATCCCCTAAGGTTCATCTTTCCTTCTGGTCCCAGCACTGTGACCCACAGTACCACTGGTCAGGCTGTGCCTGCAACCAAGGTACATGCCCTTGACCGGAATCGAACCTGGGACCCTTGAGTCCGCAGGCTGACGCTCTGTCCACTGAGCCAAACCGGTTAGGGCCAGAATTCATGTTCTTAAGTGCTCTGCTACACTTAATGTTTTGGAGGCGTTTGGCCACTGTGGTCCTCTTGGCATCCAGTGTGGCCCTTTCTGTCCATCTTATTCTCTCTTTGATATGCAGCATCCTCATATACAAAAGCCTAAGTTGCCCAGATCTTCATCCACAGGTAGGGCATCTCCCTAAGTAACTGGTGGGTTGTAAGCAGGTTCACACTAAGTGGACAAGGTAAGAACTCAAGCCTGGGGACAGACTGGTGTCCTGCAGAACTGGTATTAATTGTGAGATCAGTCATCAGACAGCCAGGGGAGACCTGTCTGGAGATGGCTTCCCTGGCATAAGGCCGTGTGTTAAATGTCTAGTGGAGGGAAATGGAAGTGCTGGAAAGACCATGAATCAGTGGACTCTGCTCTAGGTGTGGGGGAGAGCATAGGCCAGGCAGAAGAACCTACAGAGGAGAGGTGGCATGTGAGGGGGTTCTTTTTTAATTTTATTATTATTATTGTAGGGAGAGAGAGAGAAAGTAAGAAAGACAGAGGAACTGATTTGTTGTTCCATTTATTTATGCATTCATTGGTTGCTTCTTACCAGGGATCAAACCCACAACCTTGGCATACTGAGACGACGTTCTAACTAACCAAGCTACCAGCCAGGGCCAGAGGTGATTCTTTCTTTGAATGAAGCCCTTCTACAGACAGTGAAGTCACAGACCTCCTCACCTTTATGACTTTATGATCTTATTCTTTTTCTAGGTTAGAAAAAGCTGACACTTGTATTTTTTGTTTGTTGTTTCAGGTGCTGAGACCAAGAACCCACAATTATTGGTTCCAAAAACTGAAATATGTGATGAAGCAGAAAAACCCTTCATGATATCAGGAAGGATCCAGAAAGTTGACTCTCAAGGACCTGAGTTCGAAGAAGCCTTCGAAAAAGGGAACATGTTAAAGGGGCAGAGAATAAAGAGGGAAAAGAAAGACTTCAGGCAAGTGACAGTGAAGGACTGTCACGTACCTGGAAGCTTCAAAGAAGAAGAAGACGAGAAATGTCAGAAATCTGGGGAAAGATACAACCGTAGTTCTGGCCCTGTTAAAAACCAGAAAAGCCAGCCTGGGCAGAAACCTTTTACTTGTAGTGTGTGCGGGAAAGGCTTTAGTCAGAGTGCTAACCTCGTGGTGCATCAGCGGATCCACACTGGGGAGAAACCCTTTGAGTGTCACGAGTGTGGGAAGGCCTTCATTCAGAGTGCAAACCTGGTTGTGCATCAGCGAATCCACACTGGACAGAAACCCTATGTTTGTTCCAAATGTGGGAAAGCCTTCACTCAGAGTTCAAACCTGACTGTCCATCAGAAAATCCACTCCTTAGAAAAAACCTTCAAGTGCAGTGAATGTGAGAAAGCCTTCAGTTACAGCTCACAACTTGCTCGGCACCAGAAAGTCCACATTACAGAAAAATGCTATGAATGTAATGAGTGTGGGAAAACATTTACTCGGAGCTCCAACCTCATTGTCCACCAGAGGATCCACACCGGGGAGAAGCCCTTTGCCTGTAATGACTGTGGCAAAGCCTTCACCCAGAGTGCCAATCTCATTGTGCATCAGCGAAGCCATACGGGTGAGAAGCCATATGAGTGTAAAGAGTGTGGAAAGGCCTTCAGCTGTTTTTCACACCTGATCGTGCACCAGAGAATCCACACTGCAGAGAAACCTTATGACTGCAGCGAGTGTGGAAAAGCCTTCAGTCAGCTCTCCTGCCTTATCGTGCACCAGAGGATTCACAGTGGCGATCTTCCTTACGTGTGTAATGAGTGCGGGAAGGCCTTCACCTGCAGCTCGTACCTGCTCATTCATCAGAGAATCCATAATGGGGAAAAACCTTACACGTGCAATGAGTGTGGCAAGGCCTTCAGGCAGCGGTCGAGCCTCACTGTGCACCAGAGAACCCACACGGGGGAGAAGCCCTACGAGTGTGAGAAGTGTGGTGCCGCCTTCATTTCCAACTCCCACCTCATGCGACACCACAGAACCCACCTCGTTGAGTAACGTAAACGAAGAGGAAGATCTCCAGGCATTGATCAGACCTGCTACCCCCCTAATTAGACACCATTGCTGTGTCCCTCCTTTGTAAAAATGAGGCCTGCTACGGTCTTAAAGATAATAGTTTTCAGGAGTGCAGCACAAAACACAAGCATTTCAGAGGCTGACTTAAAGAAAATGAAAGCTAAGCCCCTAAAGGCGGGGACTTTGTTTTTAACTGTCCCCTAAGATGTGGTGGTGTCGGAAATAGAATGTGGCTTTCTTAGAAATGGGTCATACAAAGCTAAATGATGAAGATCCCACTTGAGGAAAGGTATTTTTAAACTAAATTTGTTTTTTTTTTAACTGGTAATTTCTTGAGCAACAGGCAGTTTATTGGTATAGGTCCGCCTGGTGGAATTCTGGCGCTTTGAACCTTGTATCATAGCATTTTGGGTTAAGCAGTGACTAGTTAAGGAAACCACTTGGGGTAGCAATTCACCAACAACCCACCTATGAATATTTATAAGCTTTCCATTCCCTAGGTAATTAAAAATATATTTTTTAAACCTACTAACTGTCTACTGCTCCTCAAATGGACAGAAGTAGGAAAACGGCTGTTTCCCTCATTCTATACCTCATGAACCTTGGATGGGAAAGCTCTGGTGAGTCTCTTCTGACCCTTCCCCAGTCTGCATGGCCGAGCACTTGAGGTTTGATGGAGATTACACACGGGCCACAGATGCTGCTGGGCTGTACTCATTTGCTAAGATGAGCAGCTCTCCAAAGAACCCCAGCTCCCACTGCATTCCATTTCAGTGAGCTGCTCTTGATGGCCCCGTCCCAGGTAGGGGAGTCAAAGAACAAGCTGGCCTAGAACCTGCCCATGTGTCGTCCGCTCACTGCTCAGGCCCAGCCAACTGGCTCAGTCAGTGTCATTCTCACTTTCTCTGTGGTCTTTAGAAGAAAAAATGGAGCCCTTCTAATTCTGAGAGGGCCAAAGTGGGAAAGGGAAGGAGAGGGAGGGGCAGAGTGGGATGCCTAAGGTCTTAATTTTTGGGGAGAAGTTCAAAGGTATTGGAATATGAAAACTTGGAAGGATGAAGAAACTGGCTAAGGTAAGATACCTTTGTTACCACTGAGCCTTTACTCCTGGAAAATTATTTATAAAACTATGCAATAACTAGAGTTATGTAATATTGCCTTGTATTTATATAGAATTTTATTCTTTGTGTACCTTCATGTATAACATGAACCCAGCACTTATCTCATGTTTTTACATAGATCATTACCTTAATCCTTACAACACTGAAGGAGCGGTTTGCCCCATTTACCTGTGAGTGGTCATTTAAAGCAGGGCCATGTAACAAGTGATGAATGTTCAAATCTAAGACCTAAATCCAGATTCTCTTTGTTCTGCCATGCTGTTTGTTCAACCACCTGTAATCCCCACCCAGATCTGTGGAGAACCTGAGAAAGGGGTGTGTAGTCTATTTTTAGGTAGGGATGGTGACAGATTTCAGGGTGTGCCTTAGGCAGCGTCACCAGCAGCAAATCAGACTGGAATTTAAGTCTCCTGATTTCTGGGTCTGTCCACCACCACCCCTCTAAGCATGTAAGAGCATTTATAAATGCTGCAGCTAGTAGTAAGCAGTTTGGTGCATACATTTTTTGTCTCATTTCTGCAAAACTGAATGTTAATCAACATGGGGCTTTGTTGTTTATAGGGCACTTTCATATACAGAAGACATATGCAAGAAAGCTTATTCAGCTCCTCTTTTTCTCCCTTCAAACATAGTCTCATCAAAGCACATGCAACTTCCTTTCCCAGTGCCACTCTAAGTCATGTGGACACAAACACAAGAAATCAGTAGGATTCAAAAGTAAGAATAAAAAATGCTCACTGATCCTGATCGTGACTTCTGTGTTCCCCTGTTTGGGGGTGGAGAGACCCAGCGATAACACCACATGTCTCTGCTGACCACGATCAGGAAGCTGAAAAGGAGGAGAGCAAGTGTGAAGTTTTGGGATAAGTCTCTGACCGTGAAGATAGCACAAGAGGCCAGTGGTGTACTTTCCTGGAAGATAGCACCTAGAATTTATAAGCATTAAGGCAGGTAAACTGTTTTAGCTTCACATTGTATATTCATCCTCATAATTGAATACTCAGTCATGGATGATTATAATTTCCTGGCTTAAGATTTCCATTCATAGGTGTTTCAGAAAGCCACTCAGGTGGTTGGGATATAAAGCTAGGTTTGGGAATTGGTGACCAAACCTTGCAGTAAAGCAGTAGTTTTCAGCCTTGGCTACATGTCAGAATCACTTAGGGCTCTTTAAAAATTTTTCTGTTTCCCAGGCCTCGTATTTTGAAATCTCTGAAGGGGATCCATTGTGCAACCAAGGTAATGAACCACTGCAGTCAGGTGAAGCCTGCAGGCCAAGGTGTGTGTAATCCAATGCGGTGGGAGGCGGGGGTGGAAGATCTGGAGATGCAGTGTTCTAAGTGGTTTCAGCAAAACCATTGGCTGCCCTGGGGTCCTTCTATTAACCCTTGTTAAGATTCTGTGACCTAACTTACTTTATTTGTATTTTAAGTGAATGTATCAAATATTTATATGAGCAGACTAGGTTTTACATGTGTTTCTGTTCCTCATTTATCAATATGACTTTTTAGATTTCTGCTTGTATTTCATCTCCAGATCTGAGATTTCACAGACCTGCACCCAAGTTCAGAACCCCCAATCCTGCACAAATCATGTGAACCTAGTGGATTGAGTACTAGACAGGTACTCTTCCCCAACTAATAACTCTTCCTCCCAATTCAATTCCAACCCTAAAATAAATTACCTCCCACTTTTTTCTGTACAGTTTGGTGGGGGAGGAGTGACTATCCTCATTGGCAGAGCTGGCTTCCGTTTGGGGTTTTCTCCATTTTCCTTTGGCCGGTCTTGCTAGAAGTGGATGAGAGCTTTGAAGCCTCATTTTCTTTGTATTAAGAGCTATCAGACTTGTAGTTGTCAAAGAGCCAGGCTTAGTGATGGGCATTAAGGGTGGAGCAGGGAAACCTGTCCTCATTCTTAAATGAGACCAACAGATGTGTATTAAGTGGAGCGCGGTGATGTGAAAGTGATAATGCGACTGGATGTACTTTGGGAGTGTAGGGGAGAGACTTGATCAACACACGCATACGCAAACACAGTTGGCTCTGAATTTCTCCAGGCTCAGGAAGAAGTGTGCTTGGGCAAAGCTAATCCTTCCTCTGTGCTCTGGAGCCCGTCTCTTCCTTGCCGAGGCAGGTGTCCTCCCATGTCTGTCGCTTCTCCACTTGCTCCATCCAGTGTGCCTGACCTTTCTGAGGTCACAGCCCCTTTGGGACTCTGATGGAGGTTGTGGATCTTCTTCTGGAGACATGCAGATGGCACATTCAGTTTTGTGCTCATTTCAGGGACATTTAGGCTCTCTGAGGCCAATCCATGGATCCTCTAGAGCAGTGGTTCTCAACCTGTGGGTCGTGACCCCTTTGGCAGTCGAACGACCCTTTCACAGGGGTCGCCTAAGACCATCCTGCATATCAGATATTTACATTACGATTCATAACAGTAGCAACATTACAGTTATGAAGTAGCAACGAAAATAATTTTATGGTTGGGTCACAACATGAGGAACTGTATTTAAAGGCCAGAAGGTTGAGAACCACTGCTCTATGGCCTAAAGTCTCATCTGGGGATGCACATTCATCACCAGTGACATTTTAAAAAATGAAGGTAGATGAATTTTGCTTCTGGCTTCCCTCCCTTAGCAAATCGCGGCATGGTCCAGCACCCAGACTAGAACTCCAGGAGGCATTCCTGGCTTCCTGTGTATCATATACAAAATTATCTACTGTCTTTGTAGCAAACATGGTCCTAGCTTGGGTGCCAGAGCAAACAGGTCTAACAAACCCTCTTCTCACATCTTTTGTGAGAAACTGTCTGGATCCCTTAACGTGATTTACTAAGCTCTTCATAGTCTCTTTCTGACCTACCCTCTACTTCCTATGCACCTTTTACTGCAGCCTGGAGGTATGTGCTTGCTGTTCTGTGTGCCTTTGCTCCCCCTGTCCTCGGTGCCTATAGTACCTCACCACCACTCCGCCCAGCCCTGCCTACTTAGCATACTTAGGTTTCTTTCAAGATTTGGTTCAAGTCCCATCTCTGGGAAACCTCTCGTCCTATGGTGAAGGGCATGTTTAGAAATATATTTAGAAATATAGAAGAGCATGACATGATATGTATCCAGAGTTTTACTTTATGCTTTGAAATGAAAAAAATCTGTATTCAAAATTGTGTACATAGTACAATTCTTATATAATGATACATATACTAGCAGAAAGCATATAGATAAATTACCTGAAAGAAATAGAATAAAAGTTTTTAAGTGGTTAAGTGACTTGTTCACAGCCATACAGATGGTAAATTGCAGAGTTTAGGTTCAAACCCAGGCCCTGTGAAGAATTGAATTATGGGTGATTAAAAGTTTTTTTTAAAGTAATTTCCATATTTCCTATAAGGAGCAAGAATTTTATAATAAGGGAAAAAATGAATTATTTATTATATTTGCATACTTCGTTTTTATTGTATTAACTGTAAACATGATCTCAGTTCCCACTTTGTAAGATGTGGGATGCACCCTGTCCCTTTCTCCTTCCCTTTTCTACGTCTCTGCCTCTGACAATGTCAAGTCTGAAAGCTCTTGAATTCTGTTCTGGAACCATAGTTAGTCTTTTTTCTATGCTTTTTGATTTCTTTTAAAAGTTTAAAATAAGCAGTATGAATCATGACTGTGTACATGTTGTTCACTGCAGATTGAGTAGCTTACTCTGGTTATATTTCCATTTTGGAACAGCATTTTGTTTTCACTGAAGTTTCTAGTTGCCTTCTTTCCTGCTTGTATTGGTTGCTTTTAGTACATCAGTGTTTTTTCAACTTCTCCATCCAGTTAGTTACTCTGTTAAGTCCCCTTTTTTCCCCGTGTATTTGCCTTCCTGATACCTGTAGCCTCCTACTCTTGTCCGTCCTTGATGGTCTTTCTGCCTTCAGTTCTGTTGATACACAGGGCTCTGTTGTGTCCTGAATTCCATCTCTTCCTCTTTCTTTCCTTACTCCCTCATTTTACTGCAGCGCATCCTCAAGTCACTTGTCAAGAAAGAGTATGAGGCAAAATTGTGGAATTCATACTGGAGAGAAACCCTATAAATGTAAGAACTATCTCAAACTCTGTCCTCACCACTTTAATCTTACTCTGAATGGGAGGCCAGTACCATATCCATATCTCAAACTCTGCCCTCACCTTGATTGGTAGTTTGACGGGCTCTGGAATTCTAGATTGAAATTTTCCTCAGGAGTTCGTGGATGTCTGATTCCAGTCTGAATCGTACTTCTTTGACAATCAGTAAGTAGTATCTGCATCATTGTGACCTGTTCCCTCCCGCCAAGGCTGGAAGCTTTTAAAGTCTCCACTTTATCCTGGGTGCACTCAATTCCCTAACGTTCTTGCTGGAATTTCTCAATTTAGTGACTCAGATACTTCTACTCTTGGAAATTTTCTTCTTGTGTTATTTGGCAGTTCCTCCTTTCCATATATTTTTTTCCTATTTTTACTCTTTCTGTTAATCGTGAATTCCTGTCAATCAAATGTTGGACCTTCTGGATTGAACCTTAACTACTTTCTCTATTATTTCTATTTCTTTGTCTTTTGCCATTTTCTGGTAGAGTACCTTGATTATTTTTTAACCTTTCTAGTGATTTTTTTTATTTTGCAGTAATTAGTTTAGTTTTTAAGTTTCTTCTTGTTTGTTCCTTTTTGTAGCATACTATCCTCATTTTAGAGATGCCTCTCAAATCTGAGTATTTTAATTAAGAGTTTTCTTTCTTTTTTTTTTAAAATATATTTTATTGGTTTTTTACAGAGAGGAAGGGAGAGGGATAGAGAGTTAGAAACATCGATGAGAGAGAAGCATCAATCAGCTGCCTCCTGCACGCCCCCTACTGGAGATGTGCCTGCAACCAAGGTACATGCCCCTGACTGGAATCAAACCCGGGACTCTTCAGTCCCCAGGCCAACGCTCTATCCAGTGAGCCAAACCGGCTAGGGCAAGACTTTTCTTAAAAGCCTCTTCTGTCACCTGAATTACCTCACCCCCTTCATGCCCTGCCTGAGTCCTTTTTGTCTCTTTATCTTATTCACTCATTGGAGACTTTCCTCAAATACATGATGAGTCTTACTGATGCACTTGTTGTATGTATGTATGGAAAGCCCAGTCCAGACCTCTCAGTGGGAGTGGAATTAGCTCAGTAAGAGGCTTCCCTTTAAAATGACTGATAGGGAGCAAGTTGTTTCCCGAAACCTGTAAATGCCAGAACGAAGGGATCTTTTGTCTGGGCCCCTTACATTTCTTTAGCAAAAAATCCTCTGATGTTTTTGTCTGGCGATTGGATGCTGTAAGTGCTTCTCTAGGAGTGGGAGGGAAGGGAATCAAGGCTTAGTACAGACTTAGTTGCAGCCCCACCCCTCCCACCCTTCATTGTACTTGGGGTTTCCAAGTCCTAAGTCTCTCTGGGGGTTGGCAGGGTAGATCAGTTACCTCCTTCAGTTGTATTGCCCTCAGCAAGTGTCCCAAGCTGGTATTCCCTCCACCCAGCTTTCTCAGTGATCACCTACCCATTTTCTGTCTTCTAGAAATTTGCTTATCTTATCCCATCATCGTTATTCATACATTTTGAACCATTTTAACCCATTATCATTTTAAAGGAAGCTCAGCCATTTAAAAAAAATGTTGCTATGCTTTGATACAGTAGTGCCCTTTCAGAAAGTTATCCTCAAAGTGACTATTGTAACAATGATTTATATATTTGTCAATTATTATTTTACATTGAAAACAACCAAAGTGACCAGTAATAGAATGATTAAATTATGCAACCACTAAAAATCATAATTTAAAGAATATTTAAATTATGCAAAAGTACAAAATTAAATCAAAAGAGAGCCCAGTTTCTTAAAATTTTTATTTATTGAATTTAGAGAGAGGGAGAGAGAGCAAAACATCAATTTGTCGTTCCACTTACTTACGTATTCATTGGTTGTTTCTTGTATGTGCCCTAATGGGATTGAATCCGTAGCCTTGGTGTATTGGGACAACGCTCCAACCAACTGAGCTACTTGGCCAGGGCTGAGAACCCAGTTTTCTTAAGTGTACACGCATAGAAAAGATCTGAAGGAAATAAGTACATCGTGTATTAACAGTGGTTAAGTTTTCCTGTATTGTCTACATTTTTTACAATGAGCCTGAATCTTTTATGATCAGGAGAGGGGGAATTAGTAAAAGGGGAAGATCTCGGCTTGTGCAGAGTGGTGAGAGGTTCAGTGGAGTGTGGAATATGTAGTAGGGAGCAGCAGAGTGTAGAGGCTAGACTGGTGAAAGAAATCCTGGAGACCACACAGACGGCTTTTGTCAGAGTCCAAAAGAGACCATGGGATTCTGACCTAGTCAGTGGCAGGGGGTCAGAGTAAGGACAGATGGAATGAGTAGGCCTTAGGGGCAAGAAGCAAAATTCCCAAGCCAGAAATCCAGGCCTCCACCTCCTGGTGAGGTGTGACCTGTGACAAATGGGGCCTTGCCCAGACCTGACCGTCCCTGGCTTCCTTGGGCCTCAGTGAGGCCACCCTGTGTGTTCACAGTGGCCAACATAACTATGATGTTGGGAGGAGACGAGGGAGGCAACCCAAGGTTGTAACCACCCCATTAGTTGAGGGGCTTCTGTGTGCTAGGCACCATGCTAAATGCCATATGACTTTTATCTCATTTAACCCTCACCTCAGGAGGGAAGTCTTCTTATCCCATTTACAAAGCCAGGACTCACAGTCAGGATTAGAACAACTCTGAAGCCAAAGCCCCTTTCTCCCAAGTTACTTCCTCAGTGTGTCCCCAGGAACCCCTCTCCTTATCTGAAGTTTCGGTGCAAAAGCAAACAGTGAAGAGTAAGTCTCCCAGCCCAGAGATAACTTCAGGAAAAAATAAAAATAAAAATTGATGATCCTTCCAGAGATAGTCCATGCATTTGCAATATTCTGTATCACACCCCCTCCCTACACACAGGAGTTTATGATGCACATTGCCTATACCTTGCTTTTTCATATGTCTTGGAGATGTTTCTCTATTAGCCTATATAAGATCTACCTCATTCTTTTTTTCACTGCTGTGTGACCTTCCATTGTGTGGATGTGCTGTGATTCATGTAGCGAGTGCCCTGTGGGTGGACATGTAGTTTCTTTCCTGTCTTTTCCTATGACAGCAACAACATGCTGAATACCCCGGCACACTCTCCTTTGGTATGTGTGCCACTTTGCAGGATAAATTGATAAAGGGTAAGGGCATTTGATATTTTAATAGAAATTGCAGCTGTGGTTCCCAGTATGTGTATGAAAATGCCCATTTCCCTGAATCCTCTGTGAAACTATTGTTTGGACTTATGATCTGATAAGTGAAAAATGCTCTCATGTTTTACTTTCATTTATGAGTGAAACTGGCTATCGTGTCTCGTGCTTAAAAGCCATGTATATTTTCTTTTTGAATTTGCATTGCTTGTTCATGTTCTTTAACATTTTCTGTTGGGTTGTTGATCTGTTTAAGAAATGATTTGTACAAACTATAGTAAAGAAATTACTCTTTTATCTGCCATATGTGTTGCAAATATTTTCCCCAGTTGATAGTTAGTCCTTTTACCTTAATATTTACAGTTTAGCGTCAAATCAAAGACTTCCCATCTTCAAGACTATACAGTTCCCATGGCATAACCCTTTGACTAGTCTACTTTGAGATAGGTCCATTTGAAATTCATTTTGGAGTAAGGACCTCTTTGGGTCTTGGCCCCACCTCTGCCCCTTTTCTCCTTGGTTCAGTGGGAGGAACTCAGGTGGAGGATCACCAATATGAAGACACCTCCCAAGAGCTGCCCAGCAACAGCCTGCAGCCAGGGCCCTGGGAGGTTCACTGAGTCCATCTCCTCATTTGGTGAGCTAAGGGTGGGGTGGGGTTTGGGATGGCAGGGGAGAGGGCAGCTAGTGGAGGAAAAGGGAAGATCCTGAGGGGCAAAGGTGTGCTGAGGGGTGTGGGGGTGGAGATGGGTAGGGAGGATGATGCTGTAGTCAAGCTTTGGGAGGGAAAACAAAGGAGAGGCTGTAGCCTGAGGTCAGTGAGGGGAAGGAGGAGGCTGCAACAAGGATGGGGAGTGATGGGAGTGTTTGGGATGAGGCCAGGGCCTGCAAGGGAAATATAGGCAATGGGGAAGGGGAAGAGTGGAGACATGGCAGGGGGTGGCAGGCAGAGTGTGTGTGTTTGGAGCAGAAGGGGTTGAAAAGGAGGGGATCAGACCATGCGTGGGTGGCTTCCAAGACCCTGAGACCCTCCATTCCTGCCCAGCTGATTTATCTGGCATTGGGTGGATGGGGCATAAACCAGGCCATGTTTCGGGACAAGATGAGTCTCTCAGACCTCGTGGTGGGGAAGAAGCATTCTAGGCTGGCCCTGCCCCTCACTCATCAACAGCCCAGGACAAATCCCTAACCCTTTTGAACATCAGTTCTCCCTTCCCCGACCTCCACTCGGGTTTAAGCTTGGGATGAAGTGGATTTGAAATGTCTTTGTAACCATTGAAAGGCTGCCTAGTTGCACAGACCTGCCAGGGTCGGAATGGGTAAAAGAAAACGAAGCCTTAGTTGATTGGAAAGACATTTTTACTTTCACAGTTGATCAGGGGGTAGTTTCTGGCATAGATGTGGACGGGAGACTCTTTGAGCAACTGTTCGTTTTTGTCCCCTGGTGGTGGTGGGCCCTGAACTGGGCAGAGACTGAAGCCAGCAAAGGCCCAGTCTAGCACAGTCCTTCCCCAGGAGCTGGGCTGAATCCCTGTCACCACTGCTGGGAGAGTTACATATTCACCCAAAACTTCCAGAGTAATAAGCAGAGGCCTTGGCTGATGAGGGGATAGGAACAGGTCAGAGGGAAGATGTGAAGCCATAACTCGGGTCAACCAAGGTAGAATCTGTTTAGAATGAAGTCCAAGGAGCCACTGTGCTAAGGGAGGAGCCAGATGGTTCTGTGACCCTGAGGCCAGAGCAGCTGTGAGGGGATGTCTCAGGAGGTAAGAGTCTGGCAGGAGCAGTTGGATGGCCCCTGAACCCAACAGCTGTTGGGGCTGGAGTGGCTGCCAGAGGCCGGGGTGGGATGGTGAACAGTGTTTACTGTCCCTTCGGGTAACACTTCAGTGTGTGGGGGCCTAGATTGGGAAACTTGTCCATTATTCTAACTAAAAAGTAGATCATTCAAGGTTCTTCGTCAGGGGCTTTTAGCAGGTGGGATCTACTAGTCCCTTACAGAGACGGTCCATTGTGACTCCCACCCAGCCCCCTTTCCAGCCCTAATGCCCCATCTACAGTTTAATGAGGGACGAGGTGGTCACTGTGTTCCGGGACAACGTAGTATTTCTGGGATATTAGGATGCAGCTGGAGGGAAACCAGGTCAGAATTTTTTTTTTTTAATACATTTTTACATATTTCAGAGAGGAAGGAAAAGGGAGAGAAACATCAATGATGAGAGAGAATCATTGATTGGCTGCCTCCCGCATGCCCCCCACTGGGGATGGAGCCCGCAACCCGGGCATGTGCCCCCCACCGGAATCGAACCTGAGACCCTTCAGTCTGCAGGCGCACGCTCTATCCACCGAGCCAAACCAGCCAGAGCCGAATTCCCTTCTTTAAGGCTCTTGGGGAGATAGATGCTCCTCCTGCTTCCTAGAGAAGCGGCCTAGAGATGCGCGAGGGGGAGGGTGTCGGGGCCGCTGGTGACGCACTTCCTGCCGCGCCACTGCCCTTCCGGCCGAGGCAGGTTTCTCTGCGCCGGGGATTGCAGGCTTGGCTGGGACCGCAGTAACCGCCCCAGGGCAACTCCGGGATCACGGTGAGCGGGCGGGCCCAGGGAGGGGGACAGCGGAGCGGAGGGCCAGGGGGTTATAGAGGAAGCCTGCGCCGGCCTCGTTCTCCCTTCTCCCGGCATTGCTGCCTGCGCCGGCCTTGTTCTCCCGGCGGCCTCAGCGCTGCTCTCACGGGGCCCCAGCACCCGGCCGCGGGCCCAGCCCAGAGGAGACGCTTGAGAAGATGGAGTGAATGGACGGGTGATTGAGTGATAGATAAATGGTCGGTAACGAAACCCCGGGTCTGGGTCTGGATACCACCTACTCCCCCAATCAGCCCTGCAGCTCAGAAGCTTTGTAGGGCCCGTGGAATAGGAGACGGCAGATACTGCTAAGCCCACGCGGTGGAGGGTGTCGAGACCTTGGTTATGTAATTCATGGGGATACAGAGGCTGTTGGTTCATCTCTAAAGTTAGACTGTCTAGTAATCCTTGCCTTCCTTTCTTTCCAAGGCTCAGTTGACAGATTGTATGTTACAGCATGTATGCAGACGTCAATGTCTTCCATCAAAATTTTACTATCTGCTTATTGCCAAATATTACGCAGAATTCAGGTCACGGAATGAGTGATGTTGGCGCCTGCCAAATGAGAAGATACTTCCGGTCTGGAATGTGTATATATGTGTGTGTGTGTGTGTGTGTGTGTGTGTGTGTGTGTGTGTGAGAGAGAGAGAGAGAGAGAGAGAGAGAGAGAGAGATACTGTTTGAAGCAGTTGTGCTAATATATTTAACCTTCTCAGTAACTTATTATCTGTAGTTTTGAAAGAGGAAATTGTACAGAGAATAGATAAGTTGCTAGTAAGTGCCCGAAAGCTGCAGCAGAGATAAATCCATTGTGCAACTGCAGCCTCAGTGAATGGTACTTGGCCGACTGACCAATTCAAGAAGGGCTTCAGAGAAGAGTACATGTAAGTGTGATTTTATTGAAAGAATTGTGGTTTCAAATTCTTGAAAAAAGCTACCTGGCTTGCCCAGAACACTTCAGCTAATTATTTTGGGGATGAAGAGATGGCAGTGGGGAGAAAGCTTACAAGGTAGAGGGTGAAACCCACGCCCAATTACTATTTCCTCCCACATTTTAATATTTCTAATACCAGAATGAGCCTCACCATCTGTACTTCTTTATTTTTTACCATCTGTACTTATACCATAGTTTAGTTGGTAGTGATTTTTCATTTTCTTAGGAAAAGTCAGGTGTCTTGGATTCTCTGTGCCTGCAGCAACAAAGGCAGAGCACACCCGGCAGAGTCTTCAAAAGTCGAAGTCAAGGTATCACTCCATGAATGCCAGCAGAGTCCTCTCCAGTATTGCCTCTAAGAGTCCTGCTGTGTCTCTATAGTCCTGTAGCTTCCCAATTACTTTTAACAGGGTGAAACTACTTAAAGCTTCTTTCCTTTTACCTTTCAGTATAATACCCATCTAACCCCAAGTCTGGATTCAAACAGAGCCTTTTTAGCATCTTAAAATCACCAACACTCAGATTATTCCACACTAGGCATTTGTGGAAACACCTGTAATTCCTTTCTGGGGAATTTATCCACCAGGGAGTAGGTAATCTGTGGTTCATGTTTTTGTAAAAAAATAAAATAAAAAATGAAAAAACACAATTTTAAATCCTCACCAGAGAGAGACATTGATTGGTTGCCTCCCGTAACTGGGGCTGAGCATCAACCTGCAACCAAGATAGTACCCTTGATGGTGCACAGGCCGACGCTCTAGCCACTGAGTCACACTGGCCAGGGTAAAAATGATTTATTAAAACAGATAAGTTCATTTGTTTACATATTTCTAGTTCAGTTTTCAGACTGTAAAGGCAAAGTTGAATGGTGACAGAGAGTGAGGCCATATAACCTAAACAGGAAGACTGAAATACGTACTTTATAGCCCTTTACAGAAAAAAGTTTGCAGTTTGACAGAAACAAACTGCTGACAGCTATGATGATCCACAGTTGGAGAAGGGAGTATTGTCTCTAAGCTGTCTTCTCCTTAGGCCTTAGGATCAAACATAATAACTCTTAACTCCTGTTGAGTGCTTATATTGTGGCAGATCGCCATAAATGTTTTACATTAATTAAGTCATTTATCTAGGATTTACAAAATGTTAGAGCTAGAAGAACTCATGTACATTATCTAATTTGTCACTTTTTTCAGTTAAATAGCCTATCGTGTAGGCCCAATTACATGGGCTATGACATAGCAAAGTTTCCTGACTCCTAATCCAATCCACTTTAATCTTACTCTGAATGGGAGGCCAATACCATATCCATTGGATCTACCTTTTGTTTTTATTTTATGGTGAGATCTGTCATTTTCAAAAGAATGATTTCTCTGACTATAAAAGTAATGCATGTTTATTGTAGGGAAAGTGAAATATATAAGAGAGTGTAAAGGACAAAGTAACCTATTAAATGTCCTAGAGATCGGTGTGTTAGCATTTGATGGGTTTTCTTCCGTCCTTTGTGTGTGTTTGTAAATATCTGTGTATTAATAATAGTTTCTGTTTATTGAATGCTTACTAATGTTGGTATATGTGTGCATATTTTTTGTTTTACTGTTTCTATCCTATTCTAATATATTGTATTTTCTCATGAATTGTCTTTGAAAACATGATTTTTAATAGTTCCAAAATATGTCATATTTATATGACTTCAGTGTTGTTGTTTTTTACAATTATAGTAAGAGGATGATCTTTGTACATACATCTTTGTGCTTCTCTCTGATTATATTTTTCACTTTTCTTCTCATTAGAAGAGTTGTTTATTTTTGTTGGAATACTTTCAAGTATTGCAAAAAGATAGGCCTTACAGCAAAATTTTACCATAATCTTATTCCTCAGAGATGATCATGGTTAACAGTGTGATACATATTGTTAGAGACTTAAGTTAGTTTTTAAAATATAATACAAAATGTGATAATTGAAGAAATTTGGGAACTAGAGGGAAAAATCATTCAAAATTTACTATATCGTTATAGTGATTGAAGATTAATTTTCCTTCTTGGTCTTAGGCATGTGTATATTTTAACATATAGGATGTTATATTGTACTTGAAATTTTAATATCCTGCATTTTTCCATAAGTATTTTTCCAATTGGTCACGTATTTTTATATTTTACTTTAATCTTAATGCCTATATAATTTCTACCAAGTGGAAATACTATAATTTGCTAAGCCTTGGTGTCTCATCAATAGAAAATTGTGTTTCCTACAACATTGCAGGGCTTTTTTCTTCTTTTTAGCAGTTAATGAAAGGATTCAGTCATTTTCCTCTCTGGAAAGTTACTTCTATGAGAATGCTCTAATAGTGGAATTAGTGGGCCAAACAATATAGGCATTTTTATTACATATACCCATGACTTTGAGCATCTTCTGAGATACCCTGCAGGTGTTGTATACTCATAATGAGTATTCTCATCTTAGTTCATACACCCACAAAATGGTGATCACTGTGTCACAAATGCAAATGAATCTACAACTTTAAGATCTGATACTTATTGCCCAAATACCTCTAGAAAGATGGTACCAGTTTACATTCCCACCGGTAATGTGTGAGAAACTTCCTTCCCCTGCACCTTTACTGGACTTAAGTTTTAGCATTAAAAACATTTCAATTTAAAATAAAAATGGATTCTTCAACCTTGCCGGTTTGGCTCAGGGGATAGAGCGTTAACCCATGGGCTGAATGAAGGGTCAGGTTCGATTCTGGTCAAGGACATGTATCTTGGTTGCAGTCCTGAGAAGTCCACAGGACCAGCCTGATTACGTACTTCACCAGGCACAGTCTATTTTTTCATGCCTCTGAGCTCTCAATTATGGTATAAAAAAAAAAGTCTCTTTTCCTTGAGATAATGCTGCCAATTCTACTTCTCATGTCAAGGTTATATGAAGAATATGAAGAGACATTTTTGGATAAGCTTTTGGAATTTTGACATTCCAAACACCAGAAACTACTTTTATTTTTTCAACTCTTTTATAAGTAAAAAAATTACAAAGTGTTTTATTTAAACTGAAGCCTTTTAAAAATATATCTTTTATTCATTTCACAAAGGGAGGGAGAGATTGCCCTGACCAGGAGTCGAACCATGACCTCCTGGTTCAGAGGTCAATGCTCAATTGCTGAGCTACCCCGGCAGGGCTGGATCAGACTAATGCATTAGCCTTGTTGTGACTCCCATACAACTTCTCAATTTATTGACTTTTCATACATATTACTGTATAATGGACAGCAGATACATATTAACTTGAATATTCCTATCCACTTCTTAATTATCTTTATAAATAATATTCTTAATTATTCATCAATTACTTGAGTGTTTGTTATCATTCTGTCTAGCTGTCACTTCTTGAAGAATTGACAGATGGAGTTGTGAACCTAGAATGCTATTAGCCAACCCTGATTTTTGTTGATGCAGTCACATTGCTCACCTGACAAGTTTTGTGTGAGTCGTTTAGTCTCCCTAGGCAACAGCTCTTTCTCATTTTTGTCTACTGGGACAGTGATATCCCATCTCTACCTGTTTCCCCTGTGAGCAGGGCTCCCAGTTTTCCAACCTTGAAGTGTTTTATAATTAAAGCAAGGAGATTTGTGGATGTTGAATATGCAAGGAGCTGAAAAGAGATTTTTCCAGGTGAGTTAGCAAGGTACAACCAGTGGGAGAAGCAGCAGGGCTTTGGAAATTTTACAAGAGAAACTGAATGAAGCTCAGGCAATAAAACTATCATCTCTTTAGGGTCGTTGGGGGTAGAACTGGGTATCTCTTGGGGACTTTTCCCCTGTACTCATTTTATCTCTTTCATTCCCAGGATTTGCCATTTTACATTCTCCCACTATCCTCCATTCTTTAGATATAAAACACCCATGTTTCCTGTCTTGCCCCAATCATTAGCTTGTTGTTGTTTGTTATTTTCCCCTTATCTCCATTGTCTCTGGTTCTCTCACTCTCTGGGTGTCTGTAGCTGCCCTTTCCATGGAATTCCTAATTAATGGTGATCACCTTATCCTGATATAGATCTCTTCTACCACTTGCAACTTTGAATTAGTTGTCCCACTTGCTTTTTACTGAGACCTGCAAAGTTAGGTCCCAGAACTTCAAGGGCCTTCACTTTGCCTTGTATAAGAGAGATTGATTCTGATGGTTTCTTTCAGGTTGGGTGAACAAGTCTGCTCCAGAGCAGGAAGTCTCTGAAATTGAGTCACCGGGGACAGTAGGAAACAGGCTCCAAGAGGATGAATCCCGGGATTCTACATTTGAACAAAAATATGCATGTGAGAGCATGAAGGAAAACTCTCCTGAAGAGGTGCCCAGGTCATGCTTTTTCCAGGAAGGAGGTTTTGGGGGAATAACTTTCATCCGAAAGGAAGCACTTCCTAAAATGATGAGCCAAGAATATAATTTTGAGAAGAGGTTGCTTTTGACCTCAAGCCTTGTTACTCATCTCAGGGTTTCTACAGAAGATAGTCTACATCAGTGGGAGACAAGTAGCATACACACCAATGAGATTTCAAACCAAAGTAAATGCTCAACCCTCTCCATTCTGAAAAAGTCTTGGAAATGTAACGAATGTGGAAAAACATTTACTCAGAGCTCATCCCTTACTCAACATCAGATAACTCATACTGGAGAGAGACCCTATGTATGTGAGGAATGTGGGAAAGCCTTTAGTTGTAGTTCATTCCTTGTCCAGCATCAAAGAATTCACACCGAAGTGAAACCATACAGATGTGAGCAATGTGGGAAAACATTTCGTTGTCGATCATTTCTTACTCAGCATCAAAGAATCCACACTGGAGAGAAACCTTATAAATGCAATGAATGTGGGAATTCCTTCCGCAATCATTCACATCTCACTGAACATCAGAGAATTCACACTGGAGAGAAACCTTATAAATGTAATAGGTGTGGCAAGGCATTCAATCAGAATACACACCTCATTCATCATCAGAGAATCCACACTGGTGAGAAACCTTACTCATGCACTGAATGTGGCTCTTCTTTTCGTAAACACTCAAATCTTATACAACATCAGAGAATTCACACGGGGGAAAAACCCCATAAATGTGATGATTGTGGGAAAACTTTTCAAACAAAGGCAAATCTTTCTCAGCATCAGAGAATTCATACTGGAGAGAAACCCTATAAATGTAAGGAATGTGGAAAAGCTTTTTGTCAGAGTCCATCCCTTATTAAACACCTGCGAATTCATACTGGAGAGAAACCTTATAAATGTAAAGAATGTGGCAAAGCTTTTACTCAGAGTACCCCACTCACGAAACATCAGAGAATTCACACAGGGGAGAGACCCTACAAATGCAGTGAATGTGGTAAAGCTTTCATTCAGAGCATTTGTCTTACTCGGCATCAGAGAAGTCACACTGGAGAAAAACCTTATAAATGCAATGAATGTGGGAAAGGGTTCAATCAGAATACCTGCCTCACTCAGCACATGAGAATTCACACTGGAGAGAAGCCCTATAAATGTAAAGAATGTGGGAAAGCCTTTGCTCATAGCTCATCTCTTACTGAACATCATAGAACTCACACTGGTGAGAAGCTCTTTAAATGTAGTGAGTGTGAGAAAACCTTCCGCAAGTATGCACACCTTAGCGAACATTACAGGATTCACACTGGTGAGAAGCCTTATGAATGCATTGAATGTGGAAAATTCTTCAGACATAGTTCAGTGCTTTTCAGACATCAGAAACTTCACAGTAGTGAATGAACCTGGCATTAGGTAATGGCAGTTTCTCAAACAGTGGCTAGGAATCTGGCTGAGGAGTGGGGGCAGGTATAGTTCCTGGAAGGAAGGATGAAATAGCCTTAAATGCTGCCCTCATTAGAGTATTTCCAGAAATATTTGTGGGGGCTTGGAGAATGCAGAGCCTACTCCAGGTGGGCATCTGGGAGTACCGGGTAGAAAGGAAGTTCCTTCTTTTCAGATAAATCCTTGTTGCTTGCCACTCCTCTCTTCTCATGTGACTCTCATACCTTGAAGTGCCATTTGTTAAGTTAGTGTTTGTCGTTCCCTTACTACACTCACCTATCTTCCCAAATTGTCATGTATGTTCACTCACCAGTTGGCTTAGATGCTTTTCTAAACACTGTCATTTTGAAAGTGGCAGCAGTTTGAGGTAGTGCTAAGTAGCCTCTAAATTTCTGAGGCAGCTCTGACCATGTTACTGTGGGGGAAGCTGCTCAGCCTGTGGAAGTGGTCCCATAAAGGGGAGACAGAAACAAGTGAAAGACGGTCCATATTCATTTACCAGTAAGGAGAACCAAGAACGGGTGATCTCAACATATACGTTGGTAAAGAAGGCTTTTATCAGAATGAGGGAGATCTTTCCTGATCCTATTAAGCTGAAGAAAGAAATAGGTCAAGAGAGTCTTTTCTTGAATGATGCCATTTCTGGAAGGGAGTCATATTTGCTAAGAAGGCCATGGGGAGGAAGGGCCAACCTCTGTTCCAGAGGAACAGTAGCTTATCCAGGATGGAAATGGCCTGTGCTTGGCTAGTGATCATAAGCCACAGAGCAAGAAACCTGCTTATGCCTGAGCAAGCCATCGGCATACCACTGGCCTAGACAGAGGTGTACACCTTTCTCTTGAGCTTATAAATGTGGCTGGGTTACTGGTTCACAGGGAATCGGGGAGAGGAACCCACTAAGATTAACTGTCTAAACCAAGTGGGATTTGACTCAGTTTGTTTGCCTTTAAGGAGAAGAAAGCGTTAGCGAAGAAGGAAGACAGCCTTTTAGATTGGCCGGAGTTGGGGGATGCTGCACCAGACCTAATGAAAGTGTTGGTCACTAGTTGGGAGGGCTAGGTTTCATGTAATTATGCCACTGGTGGTATAATACAGATTTGTTAGATCTCAGGTGTTTCTAATTTTATTGGGCATATGTTGTCCTGGATATTTACCCTTAGGTACAGATTAGGAGTATCTAGGGCAGTGATGGCGAACCTATGACATGCATGTCAGAGGTGACACGCGAACTCATTTTTTTGGTTGATTTTTCTTTGTTAAATGGCATTTAAATATATAAAATAAATATCAAAAATAGAAGTCTTTGTTTTACTATGGTTGCAAACATCAAAAAATTTCTGTATGTGACACGGCACCAGAGTTAAGTTAGGGTTTTTCAAAATGCTGACACATTGAGCTCAAAAGGTTTGCCATCACTGATCTAGGGAAATACTTCTCATGAGCTACATTGGGAAAGAGTTTGAGAGGATGACCTCTTTTTTAAATTCCTGAAAATAAAAATATCACAGGTTACCACTGACTGATGGTATTTTATTCTGAGAGATAGAGCATTTTTTCTCTCATTCCTCAGTCCCTTTCATGTTGTTTATTAAATTTATTGGGGTGACATTGGTCAACATGAACATACAGGTTTCAGGTTTGGGTTTCTGTGTTACAAGATCTGTATATTGCACCATGTGTTCACTACCCAAAGTCAAATCTCCTGTTACCATATATTAGGACCACTTTCCCCCCCTAACCCCCTTTTCATGTTTTTTTAAAAAAATATATTTTATTGATTTTGTACAGAGAGGAAGGGAGAGGGATAGAGTTAGAAACATCGATGAGAGAGTAACATCGATGAGCTGCCTCCTGCACACCTCCTACTGGGGATGTGCCCGCAACCAAGCTACATGCCCTTGACCGGAATCGAACCTGGGACCTTTCAGTCCGCAGGCCGACGCTCTATCCCACTGAGCCAAACCGGTTAGGGCCCTTTTCATGTTCTTAACTGCTACCCAGAAATTCAGCTCTGGAAGATGAAGTGAGGATGGCCTTTGACAGGAAATCATTTCTCTAATCTGTAGCATAATGCAGTTTCTAAAATATGGCTATAAAAACCATGAAAGTAAGTTGATTCTCAAATGGTTGATTATCTGGAACTCAGCATTGACTTTTTTCAGGAGCAGTTGCCTTGTAAGCATTGGTTTGAGCCATTAATTACCATTAGTGGGAATGTGGGAGAGATATCACATATACTTCTCTCTCCAGCTGTGAAGATACGCTCTCAAAACCTGGCACAGGGCAATTTTTTATAACAGAACCCACTGTTCTTAGCAGTTTACAGAAGGTGAAGCAGTTTTCTTAAGGCTGCTCAGCAGATCTCACAGGCCACTGTATCTTGGCCTTTCATCACAAGATGTGTTTCCTGGCTGTTAACTCTTAACACTATATTGTTAGAAATATCACCTATGGTAAAGACTTCATCAATAGGATAAATTTCAAGATTTAAGGCCTTTTAAAGTCTCTCATACTATTTGTTTAAATTTTTAATTTCACTTATTGTAGTTCTGATATAATAGGCTTTCTCAGTATTTCTCAAATTTGACTGAGCATCAGAACCAACTGGCAGGCTTGTTACAGAGAATTCTGGGTCCTACTCCTAAAGTTTCAGATTCACTAGGCAATGCCTGAGAATTTGCATTTTTAAGTTCCCAAGGTGTGCTGATGCCAACAGTCCAGGATCCACATTTTTTGAACCACTGGTGTATTAAAAAAACAAAACAAAAACACATTAAGGAAACACTCTCATTCATTCTAACTATATTTGTAATCCTCTTAATATGCTAGGTATTGTTCTGGGTACCGAGGATATAGTGATGAGTAAAGTCCTTGTCTTCAAGATTCCAACCTCTATACTAAGACATTAAAATTTACAATAATTAAAAGTGTGATGTTGGTACCAAGAGTAGATATAGCAATGATATGGATTAGAAAAATACTTGGCTTTATAACAAGTGAGTCTACATTAAAGACAGTATTACAGAATGGCTTCAGGCCTAGGTTGTACAATTTAGAGACAATTGGGCTCCCTAGCCCACTCACACGAATCACTTTTGAATCATCTTTAAACTAGATCTTAAAATGGGAAAAAGATAGATGTGGCACCAAATTCATGATACGGATGTGCTGAAATTTATAATTCATGATGGTTGTGCCTAGTGAAGGATGGGATCTTGGCAAGTCTCCAGTTTTGGCTGACTTGCAGTAACGAGGAAAATTGTTAGGCTATTAGGCATGACCTTGAAAGGCTCTCACTTTACCGTGCTTCTCTCCTTTCCCTACCCCCCAAAATGAGAGAAATCTCTTGTTCAGATGTTCTTTCAAGTAAGAGAGAAACAGATGTGGTTCTAGGACAATTTAATTCAAGAAAAAAAGTATACCAAAATAACTTCCAGAGGGAACAAATTTTAAAATGTACAAAATAAACACAAAGAACAAGAGAATACAAGTGATTCTTTATCTAATACAGAGGATGAGAAAGAATAACAACAGGAAAGATAGATTATATAACTTACAAATTAGTAAGAAAAACATGACTGTACTAATGGGAAATGAACAAAAAGTTAATTGGACAAAGAAATACAAAATGGTTTAAATATGAAAAAAAATTTAGCTTCCCTTGTAAATCAAAGAAAATGTCAATTTAATTTAACTATTAAACACCATTTTCAATACATCAAATTGACAAAGATGAAAAGGCTGGTTCTAGCCCATGCAGGTGCACTGTTATGGATGAGGCAAGTGGGCTCCTGGAGATGTTAAATGAATAAAATGGTAAAAACCTCTCTAGAAAGCAATTTGAGAGTAAGCTTCAAAAGCTTTAAAAACATTCAAATACTTTTCACAATAGATATAAATCAAAACATGTAGTATGCCTTAAACTTTATAGTAATGTCAATTATTTCTCAATAAAAACTGGACAAAGGTTCATGCTTGCCATATCAAAAAACCTACTAGCTGTATGAAGCAAACTTCCATTTGTGTCTTTCTTTAGTTTTACCAACTAGAGTCACCACCATGTTATACATCAGATCCTAATTTGTATCAAGATCATTTGTATTAGATCCTTCCTTGTATAAAACCCACTTATATCTCATAACTTGCCAGAACTGTCACAGGGCTACCCTTAGCAGGAACTGAGAAGTATTCTTGACTATACACATTATGATCTCCCCCACCCAAAGTGGGGTTTTGCTAGACGAAGATGCAGTAGGGGATTTGTTTAATTACAAAATCCTCTGGTTATTACTGACCTAGAAAATACAATATAATGTCAACTGAGAGACACAATACAATCACAATATAATTTTTGTTAAAAAATATAATTTACATATATACACACCCCACAAGGGAATTAACAAAGTGTTAATAATACTAGTTAACATCTACAGAGTTTGCATTTCAAGTCAAAAGGGGTATTAATGGGTGGACATAGTTTTTATCTTACTAAAATTTTTTTGGGTATTTTCTAAATTTTCAAAAATACACTTGTATTATCTTTATAATAGGAAAAAAAGATTATTTTTAAAAATCCCATATGCTTTAAAAACTAAGTCCAAAATGTTTATACTCATTAATTTTCATCTTCACTGTCAAAAGAAAGGAGGCTACTGTTTTTTACTTGCTTTTGTGTGTTCTTTTTAACTGAGTCCTGCTGATTTATTTCATCTTCACTTGTCTTTTTCTTTTTTGAGCTTGCTGTTAAACCTGAATATTTTTCATCCGGGGAACGCTTCACTGGTTTTCGATACATGATTCTTCCATCAGCTGAAGCTGGTTCTTCATCTGCAGTAAAAACAAAGTTTAACTTTCTTTTCCTCTTATTATATCGCCTTTATTGGAGAGTTAAATGGCAAGAAAATCCTGTACTTTATTTGAGGAAATCCTATAATCAGTTAGCCTGGCCATCTCCACTGCCTCTCGGCTGTATGGGACAAGACCTGCAGTCCCTTATTAAACACTCCCTGAAGTAGTCTACGGGTTATAATCTTGCTAGTCTTTAATTGATTACAATCAGGCTGTATTTTTAACTATTTTGAAAAGTGACTGGAACTCCATCATTTTCTCCTAAAGCATGTAATAAATAGTTATTAATAATGAAAAATTTACTACATAGCATACCACACTTCAGGCACTAATTAAATAGATTTCTGTTGACTAGTTTGTGAACCTAATCACCTATTTTTTTGTTAGTTTTTCCCACCTATTTTTAAAAAGCAGAATGTTTTTATTTAAATTTATACTTAATCCTCATAACAACCCAATAATATAGGCAGTTATTGTCCCATTTCACTGATGAGATAACTGAGGTTGAGAAGTAAAATAACGTCTTCAAGGTTACATATCCGTAAGTGTTAAAGCTAAAGTTTGAAAGTAGGACTATCTCCTTCAAACATACCATACTATTATATAAGATAACTTTGTACTCCAGGCTCCTTAAATTGTTAGAAAAACCAGAATCCTTTCAGACTTACCTGCTTTGGCAGCCTTTATTTCTGCTTTAATTTTCATGACATCTTCAGCTGACAGGTCTCCCTTTTTTAAAACCACCACTTGGGGCTGTTCATCTTCTTTGTCACTGTGATCACCATCTTCATCTGGGAGCTGAGGCTGGATTCTCTAGGGGAAAAAAAACACTTGACTTGTAGGTCCCTAACCCTAAACCAAATACAACCCCTGTCTCTACGAGAAACTGTAACCACTAAAGAGAGAAGGGTAACTTTATTGACTAAATGTGTTTGGCAATAAATTTTCAACTCAAGAACCTAACCTCTCAGGTAGGGAAGAGGTCTGGCTGCCAGCTACCCGGGGGTGACTATCCAATGGGATTAGTTGCCATGTCAGCAGGACCCCAGCTTGCAGTTTCCAGGGTCAGGGGCCTCTGCTTCACACACTGCAGGGTTCCCAGCCTCCTCAGGGCAGTGCTAAACCACTTCTGCTCTTCACCAACCCTTTCACGTTTTCACGTCCATCTCTCCAAGTGTGACAAAAAGTAAGCAAACACTTCCAAGCACAGAGAGCAGCAAGTGAAAGGCAGCACACTTTCTCCCAGCTTTGCTCATCCCTCCTCCCAGCAGCTTGTTTAGGATGTCTTCTTTCAGCTGTTTTCTAAGTGTGTCAAATTATGGAGGTATAGGAAATATTTTGTGCTTTTTAAATTATGAGATTACTTGACAGGTGCATTCTCTTTAATGATATCCATTCACTAATTCTTCATTAGTTTTATCTATTTTTCTCTGAAAGTTTCCAAAAAATGACTACAAACAAGTAGGTAGGTAAGTACTTTTAGCCAAGAAAATGGGAAAGTGAAATGAAATCATTCCTGGTGTTCATTAGATTGAGAATCATTAATTCTGAATTTGTTTATGCAACTGGCTGGAAAACAAGAGAAATCGTTGAAGGAACAGTGGCAGCAACCTTAAAGGACTGTTCAAAGTCACTCCTGAATTAGCTCTCAAGAAGTCGAGTAAGATGATTTAGAACTCAATTATATAATGAACTCATTTCTTTTTCTGTTAACAAATCACTAGAATGATGATTATATTGCCAAACCAATAAAGAATGAATTTAATAAGCCCAAATCACTGGTATTAATTGGAAAGCTTTTCCCTCCAGAGTTCTAAGATATCATTCCAAACTGTCATCATAAAGATGTTAATCACAGTGCAAAATGATATGAGTTATTACAGATGAAATGGACAGTGAAGAACAGAGGAGGAATATCTGTGGGAGGTCCTAGTGATGATCTGAAGCAAACAATAAAATTAGGTCTCATTTTTTGCATTGCTGAATCCGAGTCCAAACCTCATCCTCTTTGTTGTCATCACTATTTTTGGTCCTAGGGATCAGTCACTTCCTGATAGAAATGGGTCCTTGTTGCATACTGAATAGTCCATATGGCCTCGCCTCAATCACCTCTGCATACATTCCCTAACTCACCATCTCTACACTTTTGCCCATGCTGTACCTTCCATCCCTACCTGACCTATTCATACTCAAGATTTAATCTAAATATCCTCTCCTCCAAGAAACGTTGCCTGATGACAAGCATAGTCATTTAACCAATGTAACTTGTCACCCACTATGTTATGCGAGGCACTGTGCTAGGTGGTAAAAAAAAAAAAAGAGGGATTGAGATAATAACTTAGTTTGATTTGATAGTGAAAATATGCAGATCAAGTAATTTAAATGCAAAATGATATGAGTTATGACAGATGAAATGGACACAGTGAAGAGCAGAGGAGGAGTATCTGGGAGCTTCAGAAAGTTTCACAGAGGCAGTGACCTCTGAAAGCAGAGCCGAGGCGGGCGGAAGGAGTTAAAGAATACGGCATCTGGAGATCCCATCTCTGTTCTTTCAGGGCCCGGCATAATGCCTGGGTTTAGCGCATACTCACTGGGCTGAATAATTTCACATGAATCGTCTTTTACTAAGCTCTTAGTGACTTGAGGGGTGGTCTTAGTGCCAGTGCTAGACACAAAGTGCCAAGTTATTCTCCACATACCCCCTAAGCACAATGGTCTCTTATCAGGCAGGGCAGGTTTTGGTGGGAACCAGGTAGGGTTGAAGCCTGGAGGGCTCAAAAGTTGATTCCCACTGATCCCATCCCTAAACTATTCAGATCATAAACTATCCAGATGTTGTTTTTGCTTCTTCTTTTTTTTACAACAACGAAGCATAGGAAGCATAGGAATATGCCCAAGGCATTCCTCCAAAGATGTTCCAGACCCCAGGCCTAAGACATCAGGCCTTCTGACCGAGGGGCCTCAGTTTATCTGGAAAACAGGACGACACTACCGTGCACCGTGCTAACTCCGCGCTTTGGAATAAGCGAGAGAGAAGGAGAGACAGGAAAGTGATCTCTCTTAACCATCGACCGAGGACGAGGCGCTTTACCTGCGTCAAGTCATTTTCGAGAACGGAACAGGCGCTCTGAAAACGACAAGGAGGGTCCCGGGCAGAGGGGGCTGCCGTCGTTTGACCAGCGCGGGGTCCGAGGCCCACTCACACGGAGGGCCGGGCGCGGGGGCGCGGAGTGGCCGGCCGGGACCAGGACTCCAAGACTAAGCAAAAGCCGGAAGTGGCGGGCGGCGGGCGGGCCGCGTTTCGGCGCCGCGACTGGCCCGGGCTCACCTTGGTCTCTACGGTGGGCCCTTCCCGGTAGCCGACCTGTTCCTTGAAGCGGGCCAGGAAGGCCGGCTCGGCGGGCCGCACGTAAGACACCTGGTTCCGCTTGCTCATGGCCGCTCACGGAAACAGCGGCTCTGGGGACCCTCTTGAGAGTGCGCGAGGCGACGGCGCCTACTTGTGACGTCACATGGCCCCGCCTCCTGCGTGAGGCCGGCAACATGGCGGCCTAGGTGCTGACGTCAACGTCTTCCCTGGGCGCCAAATTCAAATCCGCGGACATTTTGAACGAGCGGAATCCCGGTTCGCAGCGCGCCTGGAGCTAAGGGGATCCTCGCGTTGTTCTCGGGATTCAGAGGAGAGGGCGCCATGGCGCCCGGCTCCAAAAGTAAGTACGGAGCCCGGCTCCGCCGCCCCGTCCCCGCCCCCAAATACAGGGGAGAAAGGACGCCGCCCCTGGGCGCCCCGCAGCGTGTGAAAACGGGAGCTCACCGAACGGATGGGGAATCTTTGTCCCTCAGAGACGCTGAAGGAACAGCTTTTTTCCCTTCCGTCGATGCATGGGACGACGCGGTGCACGCCGCGAGCCGGGACGGTTCTGGGCCCTGGGCTGAGCCGTGAGCCAGGGACGGACGGGGCCCCCTGCGAGCGCGGCGCGTCTGCTATTCTCACTCCTGGCGTTTCGTAGCTGGGCCCTTCCTGCGTCCCACCCGGGCTGCCTCGCTCGGGACCCGGCCTGCTGCCTCGGGTCGGTCCTGCTACCAGCACCTTCTGCACATTTCCACTTTGCTCCCCTTCCTGCAGGGAGGACTTCTCCAGGTTGCAGGTGCCTCCAGCACGTCTTTCTCTTCGCAGAGCCCGCTATAGACTCTTAGATAAGGAACTATTAAGGCACAACTCAGCAGAGTCTATTCCCACAGTCCCTATTATCCCCTCAGGGAGACCCCTCCAATTTCTCCCTTTTTCCTGGAGAGGAGCGCTGTCATTTTTACTTTTGATACCCCCCCCCCTTTAAAAAATATTTTATTGATTTATTTTATTTTATTTTATTTTTTTTACAGAGAGGAAGGGAGAGGGATAGAGAATTTAGAAACATCGGTCAGCTGCCTCCTGCACACCCCCCACTGGGGATGTGCCCGCAACCAAGGTACATGCCCTTGATCGGGATCCAACCTGGGACCCTTCAGTCCACAGGCTGACGCTCTATCCACTGAGCCAAACTGGTCAGGGCTTTGATAAACCCTTTAATTTTTGCTAATTTCTTGGTCCTTTACTGTTCTTGTTTACGACATGCTCCACCGCTTACATTGCCTAATCCTCTTTAAGTGTTGGTTTTTGAAGCGTAATGAGAAGCCTATGATGATTGAAGAAATTGTGAACTTTTGGTGTTTGCACCTTCCAACAACAAAGCTTCTAGCTGTCCATGGTAATTCTCTTCTGATGTGTTTGTTGTTTCATTAACCTTTTAGGTCAGTTATAACACTACCCGAAAACCTCCTTATGCTCTCTTTCCTCCATTATTTTTAAAACATTTTTTATAAACATTTTTATTGATTTCAGAGAGGAAGGGAGAAGGAGCAACAGACAGAAATATCAATGATGGAGAGAATCATTGATCGGCTGCCTCCTGCACACCCCCTCCCCCCCCCTGCCCGGCCCCACTGGGGATGGAGCTGCAACCCCAGCCTATGCCCTGACCAGGAATGGAACCATGACCTCCTGGTTCATAGTTCATGCTTAACCACTGAGCCACACCGTCAGGGCTCCTCCACTATTTTTCGTATTCAGGGGATATTAGCACACAAATTGGTACATTATTGGACCAAAACGTTTTATTATGCTTTCTGCACAGCCACAGTATTTGTTCAGTACATCTGGACTCAAGCAAGAGAATTTATGCCTGTGATATATTAGTGCAAAGTGGTATAAGTATGTCTATTAAAGGACTCTGCCCTGTCTACGTACATCACTTTCTAGAAGTGATGGGAGCAGGGGTATTCACAGTGCCCCTTTGTGATGCTGGTGATGTCCCTGCGGAATTCTCCCCCTCCTTTAAGTTTGTTAGCGTAGTTGAGGTTGATGACATCCCATCTAAGCACCTCTTGCATTCCCAGCAGTCCAGAGACCTGGAGCATGAAGTGGGAACATAGGGGCGAGAGGGCCCATGCAGTGCTCTCTGCAGCTTTGGCTTTTGTACCTATGGAGGATTTTTTTCTGTGACACCTCAAAAAGAAATGCAATGCTTGGTTGCCCACAAGGACCTCCCCTAGTGCCTAACTAATCTCGTGGTCCTAAAGGAAAAGTCAGCCAGAGGCTGTGATAAGGAAAGAAAAGGTGGGAAAACAAACGGAGAGGCAAGTCATTTGTTTGAGATGGAAATGTTAGTGGCAGAGCCATGTCTTCACTCCACACCTTTATGTTGAAAGTGTTACATGTGTCCCCTTTTTTCCCCCATTGACACCCCTGCCTCCTGCCCCAGGCCTCCACCACCCTATTGTCTGTGTCCTTGGGTTATGCATATATGCAGACAACTTCTTTGGTTGATCTTTTCCCACCTCTCCCAACCCCTCATCCTTGCCCACCATCCCTCTGAGATTTGACGTGCTTCTGTATCTCTAGATCTATTTTGTTCAACAGTTTATTTTGTTCATTAGGTTCCAATATGAGTGAGATCATGTGATACTTGTCTTTCTCTGGCTGCCTTATTTCACTTAGCACAATACTCTGCAGGTCCCTCCATGCTGTCTCAAAGGGTAACAGAGCCTTCTTTTTTCCTGCTGCGTAGTATTCCATGGAGGAAGTGTACCACAGCTTTTTTATCCACTTATCTACTGATGGGCACTTGGGCTGTTTCCAGATCTTAGCTATTGTAAATTGTGCTGCTATGAACAGAGGGGTGCATACATTCTTTCTGATTGGTGTTTCAGGTTTCTTAGGATATATTCCTAGAAGTGGGATCACTAGGTCAAATGGCAGTTCCATATTTAATTTCTTGAGGAAACTCCATACTGTTTTCTATAATGGCTATACCAGTCTGCATCCCCACCAGCAGTGTACTAGAGTTCCCTTTTCTCCACATCCTTTCCAGCATTTGTCATTTGTTGATTTGTTGATCGTAACCATTCTGACAGGTGTGAGGTGATACCTCAATGTCGTTTTAATTTGCATCTCTCTGGTGATCAGTGACTGAGAATTTTTTCATATGTCTCTTGGCCATCTGTATGTCGGCTTTGGAAAAGTGTCGATTTAGGTCCTCTGCCCAGTTTTTAATTGAATTGTCTGTCTTCCTTTTGTTAAGTTGTATGAATTCCCTATATTTGTTTTTTCTTAAGTTTTTATTTCAAGAAAAATGATTTTAAATATAATAATGTTACATGCAATAAACATTAATATCTCAAGAAAAACGATTTTAAATTATATTTTGGATATTAACTCTTTATCAGATGTATCATTGCCAATATGTTCTCCCATACAGTGGGCTCTCTGTTCATTTTGTTGATGATTTCTTTTGCTGTGCAGAAGCTGTTTATTTTGATGTAGTCTCATCTGTTTATTTTCTCCTTAGTTTCCTTTGCCCTAGGAGATGTATTTGTAATCATATATTGCACTTTTAAATACCTTTAATTACTTCTTATCTTTTTTTCTAGCTGAATTACGCAGTATGACAAATTGTCAGTCTAACCAGCCAAGGTAAGAAAAAATCTTGTTAATGAGATTGAGGAGGTAGTTTTCTTAAAATAATAATGTAGCTTAGTAAAGGGTACTTGAAACAAAGGGTACTTGTGTGAGAATTAGGCTGGGTCCTTGGCTACCTGGAAATCTGGAAGAAATCACATCTCCCCACCCACTGCCCTCTCACCTTCCAGGCTAAACGTTGGGATCAATATCTCCCATTTTGTTATAGCTTCTAAGAGGGAAACTAGAGACAAGCAGTGCTTGGAGCTCCTTGGAATCAACTCCCTTTGAGTTGATTTCAAGTAAAGGCTTGTGAAGATGACTGTCCTGAAGCAAATCAGTAAAGGGAGTGGGCATGTGGGACTCTTAATAGAGGTCAATGTAAACGGGGTAAATCTTGGGCTTGGTTGGGGAACCTCTCAGGATAGAAGCAGTAGAGGCCATGTGAGCCTCAGATCCATTTTCAGTTTTCAGTAAACTCAGCTGCTACATGTTTTGTCTTTAGTAATGAAGGTGATGCCATCAAAGTTTTTGTGCGAATTCGTCCACCTACAGAGGGTTCTGGATCAGCTGATGGAGAGCAAAACTTATGCTTAAGTGTGCTCTCCTCTACGACTCTCCGGCTGCACTCCAACCCTGAGCCCAAGACCTTCACTTTTGATCATGTTGCCGGCATGGACACCACTCAGGTAATGATCATTTTGGAAATGTAACTTTCCTTTTGGTAAATATAAGATTCTGTTACTTGTGAGGATTTTGTTTCTGGTCTATTTAGTTTGATAGATCTCAGTTAAGGAAGCTCAGATAGTCCATAAATATTTTAAATTTAATTTTATTAAAAACTTTTTCTTCCTTCATTAAACTTTGTGTCAGAATGGCAAGCCTGCTTCACTGTTTCTCTCCATCCAGTGAAGGTGTACTTTTCAGAGCCTCGGGTGATTGATAAGTACTGTTGATCTGCCTAATTTTTTTTAAAATATATTTTATTGATTTTTTACAGAGAGGAAGGGAGAGAGATAGAGAGTTAGAAACATCGATGAGAGAGAAACATCAATCAACTGCCTCCTGCACATCTCCCACTGGGGATGTGCCCACAACCCAGGTACATGCCCTTGACCGGAATCGAACCTGGGACCCCTCAGTCCGCAGGCTGACGCTCTATCCACTAAGCCAAACCGGTTTCGGCGTTGATCTGCCTAATTTAAAGAGAGGTCTTAGCCAGCCCTGGCAGCTTTAACAAAATTATCATAGACTAGGTGGCCTAAACAAAAAATATTGATTTTTAACAGTTCCTGGAGGTTGGGGAATCCAAGATATCAAGGCCAAGAGATCCAGTGTCTGGTGAGGACTCACTTCCTGGCTTGTAGATACCTGCCTTCCCACTGTCCTCACTGGTGGAGAGATGGAGGGGCAGGGGAGAGTAAAGGGGAGAGAGAGACCTAATTACCTCTCAAAGGCCCATCTCCATCACATTGGGGATTAGGGTTTCAACATATGCATTTTAAAATTGATTTTAGAGAGAGGGATGCGGGGGTGGGGAGAACATTGATGGGAGAAAGAAACGTCGATCGGTTTGCCTCCTGGATGCACCTGACCCAAGATTGAACCTGCAGCCTAGGCATGTGCCCTGACCAGTGTACAGGATGATGCTCCAACCAACTGAGCCGCACCAGCCAGGACTAAGCACACAACCTTTGTTGTTATATTTTAGAATGCAGCTTAAGAAAAATGTTTTTATTTTTATGAAATGTTAACATATTTGGTGCTTACATTTATAGGAGTCTGTGTTCTCAACTGTGGCCAAAGGCATTGTGGAATCTTGCATGAGCGGGTATAATGGCACCATCTTTGCATAGTAAGTTGCTGACTGTGTTGTGTATAAGGATACAAGGGTACAATAACAAGTGCTTCTGTTCATTCCTATGGCTGATGTAACAAATTATCATTAACTTAGTGGTGAAACAACACAAATGTATTATCTCACAGTTCTGTATGTCAGAAGTCTAGCACAGCTTCACCGAGCTAAAATAAAGGTGTCCGCAGGGCTGTGTTCCTTTCTGGAAGCTCCAGGGGAGAATCCATATTCTTCACTTTACAGGCCACTCACATTACTTGGCTTACCGCTCCCTTTTTCTATCTTCAAAACCAACAACATGCAACTCTGTCTCTTCCTTAGTCACATTACCCTCTAACTAAAGATGAGAAGTTCTCTATTTTTAAGGACTCGTGTGATTAGATTGCCCCACCTGGATAATCAAGGTAGAGGGGATTAAACTCCACCTCCTGGGAGGGAGAGTATCTACTTAGATTATAGCAGGTTCTCAAATAACATCATTTAGTAATAACTTTGGTAAGATACTGTAGGAACTGAACTCGTTTATATTGATTAGCTTAGGGTAAAATTGGTTGTTATATGTCAGTTTCACTTAAAGCAGTGGTCGGCAAGCTGCCACATGCAGCTCTTCGGCCCCTTGAGTGTGGCTCTTCCACAAAATACCACGTGTGGGCACGCACGTACAGTGCGATTGAAACTTCGTGGCCCATGCGCAGAAGTCGGTTTTTGGCCTGGGCGAGTCTATTTTGAAGAAGTGGCATTAGAAGAAGTGGGGGGTGGACATATAGAGAGGATGAACGAAAGGAGATAGACGAAACAAGTATACAAGACGAGTGTGGATGGGAGAGTTGGAAGGGGTTGACCTCAGCGAACGTACCTCAATCAGATTGAGTACGTTTTTAGCAAAGGCCAGCTTAGGAGTACCCTAATTAAGTTAATAACAATGTACCTACCTATACAGTTTAAGTTTAAAAAATTTGGCTCTCAGAAGAAATTTCAATCGTCGTACTGTTGATATTTGGCTCTGTTGACTAATGAGTTTGCCGACCACTGACTTAAAGTCATCGAATCTTTTGACAACATTAGGTGAGGACTTACTGTATTTGCGATTATGTAAGGAAGATTCGTCTTTTCTCCCCCATTTATTTATATATATGGTATGGACGTATGCATATTTATAGTTTGAGTTATAATTCAGCACTATATTTTATTTATCTTTTTGCTCATATTGTTCTAGCTTGGCCATTGGAGCTATTTGAGGTTGGTTTCTATGTCTCATTGAGATGTCACATCCTTTTGGGTTTTTTAGCACTTGCCTACTTTCTGGTGCTACAAGAGGCTCTTGGCTCATCTTGTATTTTTCCTGTCCTAGGCCTAGGATCAGCCATTTCACCAACGTGCCCTGATTCCTTTTCCTGGAGAGTGGTATTTAGGAACTAAGATCTGGCACTAGGTGTGTTTGTTGCTACTGGAATATCATTGCCTCTAGGCCTTCTCAGACAGAACTAGGTAATATATATACTAAGTCATGTATATACGGACGTATCTATAGTTGTTTCTTTACCTGTCCATTTGCATCTATATTAAGCTAAACAGTAGTTCATACTGATGTCTCTGACTCTAATCCAGGGTTTAGAATTCACATGGGTTCATTCTAGAATCCAGTGAATCCATAGGACTCATTCTGTTCTCTCTTGTTTATCTGTAACTGCCCTTGCTGACAGTGAGAAACCTGGCTCCCACCTTCTTTCATCCATTTATCGATTTGATCAACCCCAGTACACATGGAAAGCAGTTTCAGAATTGTTAGCCTGTATCGCTGTGAAAAATTTACTGAGTATAAAGGTTATGTATAGATTCTTGTATTTTTTAAAAATATATTTTTATTGACTTCAGAGAGGAAGGGAGACTGGGGGGAGAGACATCTATCTGGTTGATGTGTTTTGCTTGTTCATTGAGTTTGCATACTTTCAAATTCACTCTTTGTTGTGTACAGTTAGTTGACAGTGTTTTGACGAACGCAGACAGTCATGTATTTACACCCAGTCCTGAGGAGAACAGTTCTCATTCCTTGTCCCTTCTGTAGTCAGCCACTCTCCCTTCTCACATCCAGGTACTAATATTTTTGCCATTCCTATAGCTTTGGCTTTGTAGAGTGTCATATAAATGGAATCATACAATATGTAACCTTCTGGATTGGCTTTTTCTTCTTCTTTTTTTTAAAATATATTTTATTGATTTTTTACAGAGAGGAAGGGAGAGAGATAGAGAGTTAGAAACATCGATGAGAGAGAAACATCGATCAGCCGCCTCCTGCACATCTCCCACTGGGGATGTGCCCGCAACCAAGGTACATGCCCTTGACCGGAATCGAACCTGGGACCTCTCAGTCCGCAGGCCGACGCTCTATCCACTGAACCAAACCGGTTTCAGCAAGGCTTTTTCTTCTTAATAGAATGCATTTAGGTTTCATCTATGTTGTTACATGCATCAATAGTATATTCCTGTAGGTTTTTTTTCTGAGAAGTATTTTATTGTATGGATGTACTACAGTTTGTTTATCTATTTCCCCGCTAAAGGATGTCTTGGTTGCTTCCAGTTTTTAGTGATTATAAATAAAATTGCTATAAATATTTGAATATTGAAGCGATGATTCTGAAATTTTAAATGTTGGCAAGCCTTAAAATATTACTAGAAATTTAATTTTGGAATATAAGCTGGAGGTCCAGAAAGCATTGAGACCACCTTGGCAGTTATACAGGATGAATTTTAGTGTTATTTCAGATTCATTTCTTAAATAGGAATATAACTTGAAGTGTAACTATTTTTATTTTTTTTTTTATTCTCACCCAAGGATTTTTCCCCCCAATTGATTTTTAGAGAGTGGAAGGGAAGGAGGGGGCGGGAGAGAGAGAGAGAGAAACATTGATGTGAGGGAGACATGTTGATCCGTCTCCTGCACCCACCCCAATTAGGGACTGAACCTGCAATCCAGGCATGTGCCTTTTTTGGGAATTGAACCCTCAACCTTCCAGTGCATGGGACTACACTCCAACCAACTGAGCCATACTGGCCAGGGCTAAAATTGTGTGTGTTTTTTTAAAGATATATTTTTATTGATTTTAGAGAGGAAGGGAGAGAGACAGACAGAAACATCAATGACGAGAGAGAATCTTTTTTTTTAAAATATTTTTTATTTATTTATTTTTTACAGAGAGGAAGGGAGAGGGATAGAGAGTTAGAAACATTGATGAGAGAGAAACATCGATCAGCTGCCTCCTGCACACCCCCTACTGGGGATGTGCCCACAACCAAGGTACATGCCCTTGACCGGAATCGAACCTGGACCCTTCAGTCCGCAGGCCGACGCTCTATCCACTGAGCCAAACCGGTTAGGGCGAGAGAGAATCTTTGATTGGCTGCCTCCTGCACATCTCACACTGGGGATTGAGTGTGCAACCCAGGCATGTGCCTCAACAAAATTGAACCGTGGCTTCCTGGTTCAAAGCTTGACTCTCAACCACTGAGCCATGCCAGCCAGGAAAATTGCTTTATTTTTAAATGAAACACTTCAGTATCTTAAAGGAAGAATTTAGGAAAGGAATTACTGCATTATTTAAAGTAGCAAAAATTGGAAACACAGGTCCAGTTTGTTCTGGTTAAATAAGTTGCGATACATTGAAGAATACTAATATTATACAGCTAAAAAACATGAAGTAGATCTCTACTGACTCAGGGAAATATCTGAGGTAAAATTTAGGCGGGGAGGAACAGGTTGCAGAGCAGCCTTTAGAACTTCATTCCAATTTTGAAAATAAAAACTACGTGAAAGCTCTGATGGCTCTTTTGTATAAGCCAGAAGCAATTACCAGACAACAGTGGTTAGCTCTTAGTGGTAAAATAGAGGATGAAGAAAATGGGTCATTCACATTTACCTAATGTAATTCAAAATAAGAAAGAAAATCAGCTCTTTATGGGAAAATTCATATACTACTTTAATAGGAGGGTGGTCTTCTAAATTTCACGTGTAAAATAATGTCTAACATTCCTTTTACAGTGGACAGACTGGCTCAGGGAAAACGTTTACTATGATGGGTAAGTAAATTCATGATTAACATTTGCTGGCTTAGTCTACTCCTTCTGTGATGGAAGCACCTAGCACATTTTTGGGAAAGCATAATCTCTATACATACATGATGTTGACCTCATAAAATTAGGGTTATTTCCCAGGCTTCTGTCAGATTGGTGTTCCCATGAAAGCAAAGTCAATGTTTATGGCTCTATTCCCAGCTCAATGCCTAGCACAAGTAGGTGCTTATAAACCATCTTTAAATTGGGTTTAATGACTTTCCATATTTATATACCTGTATAACCACTACCTAGATCCATATTCCTAGTCAGCAACTATCCCCACCCTATCCCCTAAAATATGTACTCTATTACTCATTAGTTTTGCTTGTTTTGGAACTTTTACAAATGAAACTTTACTGTATGCACTTTTATGTCTGGCTTCTTTCAGCATCGTTTCAAGCAATCCCCAGTGTGGGGCGTGCAGAAGGCAGCTGATAGATGATTCTCTCTCATCATTGATGTTTCTATCTCTCTTTCGCTCTCCCTTCCTCTCTAAAATCAATCAATACACACACACACACACACACACACACACACACACACATACACATATATATTTAAAAGTATGCTGAATATCTTTATGTTATTTCACAGGAAAATGTTATAACGTTACCTGCACACTCTAATATTATTTGTCCTCTTTGTTCATTTACTTGCATTTTTCTGCCTCTATGATATGTATTTGTAAGGTACACTTTACAAGGACTGTTTCAAATATTCCAGTTGTAGCACACCAAGATAATGATACTATTAAAAGTTTTTTCTGCCGAAACCGGTTTGGCTCAGTGGATAGAGCGTCAGCCTGCGGACTGAGAGGTCCCGGGTTCGATTCCGGTCAAGGGCATGTACTTGGGTTGCGGGCACATCCCCAGTAGGAGATGTGCAGGAGGCGGCTGATCCATGTTTCTCTCTCATCGATGTTTCTAACTCTCTATTCCTTTCCGTTCCTCTCTGTAAAAAATCAATAAAATATATATTTTAAAAAAAAACCAGCTAATGCTAATTTTTAGTAATAGCCATTGAGATAGTTAATATCATTATTATCCCCATTTTATAGTTAACAACTCTGAGAGGAGGAATAATTAGTCTAGGAGCCTATGGCTAATGTATGTAGGTCAGCTCATGAGACCCAATGTTATTTGTAACATGTAAAGTACATTTGTTTGGTATTTCTGCTAATTTTGGTACCTTTCAGGAATGAAAATTATAAGCTTGGTATTTAGATGTTTTTTTAAATTTATTAGACAACTATTTTTTAAACTTGGTTAGTAGTTTTTGTGGGCCTTTCCTACAGTCCCATTGACAGGTTTTATTGCTCGATCTCTCACAGACCCAAATTTTAATTGTTTAAAAATTGATTATATAGCCGAAACCGGTTTGGCTCAGTGGATAGAGCGTCGGCCTGCGGACTGAAAGGTCCCGGGTTCGATTCCGGTCAAGGGCATGTACCTGGGTTGCGGGCACATCCCCAGTGGGACATGTGCAGGAGGCAGCTGGTCGATGTTTCTCTCTCATCGATGTTTCTAACTTTCTATCTCTCTCCCTTCCTCTCTGTAAAAAATCAATAAAATATATTTAAAAAAAAAATTGATTATATAATGTGTCATCTTATTTCTGTGTAAATTGCATTTGTGTCATCTTATTTCTGTGTAAATTGCATTTGTGTTTTCATTTTGAAGAACTCTTACAATATGAACAAAAATGAACAGCTATGTATTTTTTCATTTTTTAGGACCATCTGAATCTGATAATTTTTCTCATAACCTGAGAGGAGTAATCCCACGAAGTTTTGAATATTTATTTTCCTTAATTGATCGTGAAAAAGATAAGGTAAAACACTGTAATAATAAAGCAATTCTATTTTGAGAAGTTAGCTTCTAGTCATGATACATGGAGGTGGCTGTCACAATTTGTACAGGTAGTGTGGTATTAAAAACTGTTGATTCTTTTTTTTTTTCTTTCTTTTTATTTTTTTTATTTTTCGCTAAAAGTATTACAAAGGGTATTACATAAGTGTCCTTCTCCGCCCCCCCCCCCCGCCCTAAAACTGTTGATTCTTAAGATAAAATTAAGGATTCTGAGTTTTATTTTCAAAAGTTTTAAAATATATTTTATTGATTTTTTTTTTTTTTACAGAGAGGAAGGGGGAAGGAGAGGGATAGGAGTTAGAAACTTCGATGAGAGAGAAACGATTCAGCTGCTTCCTGCACACTCCCTACTGGGGATATGCCTGCAAACAAGGTACATGCCCTTGACCGGAATCAAACCTGAGACCCTTCAATCCTCAGGCTGACGCTCTATCCACTGAGCCAAACTGGTCAAAAGTTTTTACTTTATTGGATGTGGGCTTCCCTCTTCCATTGGCTCCCAGGTTGGGCCATTCTCACGATGTGTTCTTTAGCTTGGTGATTTCCAGGCTTAACAGCCATTAGTATTCTATGTTTTAAGGAGGCTGATATGTAACATTGCTTTGCCATTTATTTCTTTGTGGAAACTGTTCCTAGCCACTGCAGTTAGACACACACATTGCATGTCAGCAAAGTGTTTAGTGCCGTGCATTTTGGTGGTTGAAAATTCTATAGAGAGGCTTTTAAAATATTTTTTGTCTTTTACAGTATATAACACTTGCTTCAAGTAAAACTTTGTGAGGAAGTCCAATATATGACAGATAAAAATGAAATTGCCGCCCTAACCGGTTTGGCTCAGTGAGTAGAGTGTTGACCTTCGGACTGAAGGGTCCTGGGTTCAATTCCAGCTAAGGGCACATGCCTGGGTGTGGGGCATGCAGGAGGCAGCCAGTCAATGATTCTATCTCATCATTGATGTTTCTATCTTTCCCTCTCCCTTCCTCTCTGAAATCAATTAAAATATATTTTTTAAAAATGAAATTGCCCAACTGGACTGCTCAATTCCCATCTCATTGTCTTGATTCTCAGCACCTCTGGAAGGGCTCTTGGGACCACAGCAATGCTCTATAAAATATAGTGATATATTGAAACTAGTTACCTAGGTTTTTTTAAGCTGACTCTTAGGTATCTTTTATGATGTAAAGGATAAGATTGTAGAAATTTTACACTTGTGAAGCAAGTGAAAGATGAGTGCTCATGAAAGATAGGGATGAATGCATAAAAATAATATATCTAAACCAGGCTTCTCTTTACAGGCTGGAGCTGGGAAGAGTTTCCTTTGTAAGTGTTCCTTTATTGAAATCTATAATGAGCAGATCTATGACCTACTGGACTCTGCATCCGCTGGACTGTACTTAAGGGAGCACATCAAGAAGGGCGTCTTTGTTGTTGGTGCGGTGGAGCAGGTGGTGACCTCCGCGGCTGGAGCCTATCAGGTATCCGGCCTTGAACTTTGTGATCCTTGGACACCATAGCATGCTGTGAAATGCGCCTTGATCTCAACAAAAGCAAGAATTGAGCTACTAGAAATATTTTGAAGAGGCATAACAGAATGTTCATGAGAGGAAAAGAAAACAATATGACAGTGTTTTATACTCCCTTTAGTTAAAATAGAACTTTGCGACTTTTGATTTTGCACTATTTTGGTGCTATTCATTCTAGCCAGGCACTACTGAAACCATACTGGATGACCCGGGGACATTTCATAGAGTCTGTATTTCTTTAGTGGTTCCTCCTGGGAGTTGCTCCTTTGAGGAGCTACTGGGATCTCTGATCTCTAAATCAGCTGTACATATTATGACCTTACTACTCAAAATATAGTTCTCAGACTGTGAGTATCACCTGGGAGCTTGTTACAAGAATCCAAGGCTCTACCTCACACCTATGAAATCAGAATCTGAGTCTTAACAAGATCCCCAAGTGATTAGTATGCATATTACAGATTGAGATGTTCTGCCTTATGGGGTAAGACCCATAATCCCATTTTACAAATAGGGCATTGAGCTGTGAGAAGGTTGGACTGGCTCCACGCCACACAACTAGTGAGTAATAGAACCAAGGATTGACCTCATGTTCATCTGATTCCAGAGTCTCAGACTGAACCTTCATGTCCTCCTTGCCATAGGAAATAGGAAGAGAGAACAAATACTTGGTGGACCCAACAAGCTGACAAAACGGGGCATGAAGGTCAATTTGAGGTTCATCTTGTCTAACTTTCTCATAGTCTAGGGAAAGGAAGGCTTCAGAAGGATTTTGTGATTTGTTAATGCAAATAGAGAATGGCAAAACCAGTTCTAGATCCTGTGCCTCTGATTCCATTTGTTCTCTTTCCATAACACAGAGGGGACAAAAAGGAAAATACTTTGCATATGTTCCTTGATGGGCCAGTATTTTTTCTCACTACTTTTTATTGTTTTTCTATTGATGTTAGTGATGAAGTATAGTTGGAAGTTGTGGTGATCTGTTTCCTTTTGCCCAGGTGTTGTCTGGAGGATGGAGAAACAGGCGTGTGGCCTCGACATCAATGAATAGAGAATCCTCGAGGTCTCATGCAGTCTTCACGATTACAATAGAGTCAATGGAGAAAAGCAGTGAGACAGTAAATATACGAACCTCCCTACTCAATATGGTGGATTTAGCAGGATCTGAAAGGCAAAGAGACACCCATGCAGAAGGGATGAGGTTGAAGGTAAGAATGGAATTATGGTCTTCAGTTGAACTTGTGTGTGAATTCTTATAGATATCAATACCCAGCTAAGTGTTGTGAGGACTACAAAGGAATAATAAGTTGTGAAAGATATAGACATTTTTGTTGTAGACAGTAAACATACGTGGGACGGGTTTGTCAGCAGCAAGGGTATTTGAATTCATCCAGGAGGGATTATATAGTACAAGTGGCCGCAGGGGTCAGAGGAAGCAGGGTGTGGCATGGACTCCTTAGAGGAAGCATGGGAAAGAAGTAGCTCATGAGTTGTGTTCTCAGAGTGGTCTGGATCTGGACAGGGAGAAAGGACCAGGGATACATGCCACACTGGGGGACATCTTAAAGGTTATTGTGGACACAGACTGATTTGGCATTTCAGCATAGGTCATTGGATGGGTTGGGTTGGCGGTTTAAGGTGGCATAGCCATAGATCGTTGAGGATGAGTACCTGGCCAACTTTACTCCAAACACTGAGAAAAATTTTGAGTGTTTTCATGCAGAAAGCCTGATCTATAAAAGTGTTCCGGAGCTGCCAAGTTCATAAGGAGAAAGAGGAACTATACTGTTCATAATTCAGGGGTTCAGGGCCTAGGTCTAGGCCAAGTATTTAGCCTTCCCTACAGATTAATTTAAAACCATTACAGTGATAAATTGGCATTGATTGTTTTTCCTTCACATGATTTTTGTGTTTGAATACTAAAATCGCTGTGTGTGTCAAATAGGAAAAGGTTAGTGGATAGTTGAGGACATCTTTTTGTTGAAAAGTTAAGTTATCCTTAATGTTCCTGACTTGCCTTTCAATTCAAAATTGTCACCCTGCTGGTATATTTTAATTCAAAATACTAAAAAGAAACTAGTGCACCTAAACTTTTGTCCTTTTCCCTGGTGCCTTAGGAAGCCGGTAACATAAACCGATCATTGAGCTGCCTGGGCCAAGTGATTACAGCCCTTGTGGATGTGGGAAATGGAAAACAGAGGCATATTTGCTACAGAGATTCCAAGCTCACCTTCTTACTCCGGGTAAAGTACATCATTGGGCTCCTGGGCGCTTCTTTTGGTTATGCCCACTATGGCTGATAGTTGGATATTTTCTCAGCCTTGGTGGTAAGAGTGTACATTTTATTTGCTTTAAAAAGTCTTATTGTTTCTCCCCTGAAAATGTGTACATTCATATCATTAAACAGGATTCCCTTGGAGGTAATGCCAAGACAGCCATCATCGCAAACGTTCATCCTGGATCCAGGTGTTTTGGGGAAACCCTATCAACGCTGAATTTTGCTCAAAGGGCCAAGCTGATTAAAAATAAGGTAAAATGCTGAGTACAATGAGGTAAATTAGAAAAATACTTACGCTTGCAGTATCTCACTTTTGTAGCTTTTTATGTCACTGTGAAAGATTTCTACTTCATCTTTCCTAGCCTTCTGTATTGCTCATGTAACTTGAGACCTAGATTGGGTCTTATGGTTGTTATTGTTTGCCTAGTTTTTTATTAAGGGAAGGCAACGTTTTACCTTTGTCATTAGGATTGGAGACTGAATTTATGTACCTAAACCCTGCTAGCAGAGCTGTGTGTTTTGGTGGGTGGTGATAGGGATTCACCCTGAAAATAATTTGATGATGTTGACAAACCTTGTTTTTCACTTTGCCTATAACTGCAAGGATTCTCCATTTTTTCTTTTATACAAGAAGGTCCCTTCATATTCAGGTACACCAGTGGTCAGAAACTCCTGTAAAGGACCAGGTAGTAAACATTTAGCCTTCCTGGACTGTGTGGTCTCTCCCAACTGCTGACCTCTGCCTTGGTTAGAGAAAGCAGCCATAGATAGTATGTCAGCACATGGGCCTGGCTGTGCTCCACTAAACTTTCCACAACAGGCAGCAGACTGCATGTGGCCCCAGTCCTGGTGCAGATTGTCAAAAGACCAAGGATTCCCCGCTCAGTTGGAGAGGTGGGAGACCTCTTTGGTCCCAAAGGAAAGAATTGTAGTGCCTGAAGTTGGAAGATTAATTTCTTCTGTCTTTCAAAGGAGAAGTTGATCGTTCTTATCCCCAAAGAAGACTCCCTGAGTATCTTATTGTAAAAATGTTGCCTCTTTCCCTGGATAAGTCAGGAGAGTGTAGTCATTCATTCATTTTATTGGATTATGACCCCCTTGTCAGGTATCTGTAATATGAGGAGAAAAATCATTAGAGCTTCCTGACCCTAGAACCTCTTGGGACTTACTAGAAGTTTTAAGAGAGTAGAGAACCACAGGAGTAATTAGCATTATGCGGTCACTGATGTAACAATGATGTCAGAATATACAGGAGTGCCTTATAATGAGCTGGCCTTAAGAATCAGAAGCAACTAAGAATGGCTTCTTAACACATGAAACAACAAAACCAGGAGCCTTACAGTAGTCACTCTCAATGGTAAGTCGCTGCAGAGCAGTGGCTGGGATATTTGGGACTGGTTTAAGGGTGAGCTAGTCAGATCTTTTCCCTGGGGCTTTTCCCTCACTGGAGAATTGGGTATTTCACAATTGGATCCCTTTTATCTGGTTGGTACTCAACTATTGGTTCATGTCATCACCCTGTAGGCTTTTTCAACTTCTTAGATGTGGTCTCTAAGACATTTTCTTTAAGAAAATTTCTTAAAGATTTATTTCTTTAAAAGAGCATTAAGTATGGTAGTGAAACAAAAATGGAGCTGTAACACTAATCCTTCTTTTTAGGAGGAACTGTTAGGAAATACAGGATTGGATTCCTTTGGTGAGGGTGGTTTCTGCCAAGCCGATGGTGCTCAGGCCAGCCCTGCAGTCATCACACCCTATAGCGTGCCGTGACAGAGGGATGGTTACAGCCATCACAGAGTTGGCTCTTCTCCATGGTGCAGGACGGTCCATCCCAGGTCTCAGTGGAACTCAGAGCTGGCTCCTGCTCGCTCCCGCCTCCTCAGCAGCGCTAAGGATGTCCGACTGCAGCTTAGGCCTGGGGTTTATTTACCTTCTATAATTGAAACTTTGTTGCTTTGAGTGGAGCTCAGAGCCGGCCGGGAAGCTTGGCTTCCTCCATCACTGGAGAAACCAAGCCTCCTGCTCGCTTCAGCTCCGTGGCTGCCGGCCGCCATCTTGGTTGGGGGTCCCCACTGGGGTGCCTGGCCAGCCTGGGTGAGGGGCTGATAGCTGTTGGCAGGTTGATTTTAGAGGGGGAGAGAGAAATATTGATTTGTTCTTATTTATGCTTTCATTGGTTGATTCTTATATGTGCCCTGATGGAGCATCAAACCGGCAACCTTGGTGTATCGGGAAAACACTCTAACCAACTGAGCTACCTGGCCAGGGCCACAAAATGTTCTTTTAATGCTTTCAAAACATTCTTGAACAGGCAGTGGTAAATGAGGACACCCAAGGCAATGTGAGCCAGCTCCAAGCTGAAGTGAAGAGGCTCAAAGAACAGCTGGCCCAGCTCACTGTAGGGCAGATACTACCAGAAAGCTTTCTGACCAGAGGTAAGATGGGCAGTGTTCTTTATCCTGAGGAAGGAAGACCATGTGTGGACATTAGTGTTGGAACCCCCCAACGACAGGCACAACACAATAAGGCTTCCCAAACTTTTCCCCAAGTGTCTGTTTACTTCACCTACATCGGAACATGGTAGTTTGTAACCAGAGACCAATTCCATAGGTACTGAGTTCTGTGAGATATGTGGGAAGGGGGAGTAGAAGTAATTTTGAATATTAAAACTGCTAAAAAGACACTAATAAATTTCATTTTGATCCACTTCTAAGATTCGGTTACATCACATGTTATCTATATGTTTACTAAATTGAGTGAGAGAGGCTTTTCTTCAAAGAATAGCTAATACGTGGACTGGGTTAATTTAAAATCCGTGATCTGTTGATAATAGTTTGATTCTTTTAGATTAATTGAGAGCAGGCAGTCAAAGGCCGTTTTAGCTCATCTCTTAGTCATAAAATGTGAAAGATAAACATTTTTCCCCTTTCCCTTTTTCACTGGATCAACTACAGAGAAAGATGAGACTGATTACATGAAGTATTTCAAAGAGGCAATGTTGTTCTTTAAGAAGTCTGAACAGGAGAAGAAGGTAGGAAACTGAATTTGTATAAAGGGGCGGGGGGGGATGCAAGATACTTTAGGCTTTACTATGTGGTTGGTGCCTTTCTGAATGGAGTAAATGCCGACAGGAAATAAAAAAAGGAAGGCTGTGAAAAATCTAATTTTGCCTTTGAGATTAAATGGGAATTTAATGTTTGTTTCTTAGTTTGTGAAAATGTAGGGAAGGTGAATTACTTTTCATGTTTAACCAAATTATGAATTTCTTAAGTTTCTGGTAGAAAAAGTTACCCAGTTAGAAGACCTCACCCTCAAAAAAGAGAAATTTATTCAATCTAATAAGATGATTGTGAAATTCCGAGAGGATCAAATAATGCGCCTGGAGAAGCTCCACAAGGAAGGGCGGGGAAGTTTTCTGCCCGAGGAGCAGGATCGTTTGCTGTCGGAATTAAGGGATGAGATTCAGACTCTGCGAGAACAAGTGAGTCATGACCTTTGCAGTATTTCTACATGTCAAAGAAGTCCCAGGCAAATAAAAATTTGTCACCACATTCTTGTAACACAGTGGGGTTGTTTTAAATGAATTAACCTGACAGTATGATTGCACAATCCCCGGCTCTTTGTCCCCCATTTTCTAAAATAATAAAACTGAAGGGAAAAGCTCTTTAACCAGCAGGTCAAGTCAAGTTCGCCCCAGTGCGCCCTGGAGGTTATCTGAAGCAGTAGTCTCTCTACAGTTCAGCCTTTAAAGTTTCTTTTGTTTTTGTTTTTCCTTTTGCCTGGGAAGGATGGGTAATTAATACAGGCACATCTTTAAAAATCAAAGATAATTGGTTTTCAGCTTTATGTATCTTTCCAGAGGTTTTATGCATATTCAAACTAATACGGATATTTTTCCTTTTTTTCTTTTTGTGTGAAAAATGCAGCTTACCATACACACTTTTCTGCACCTTCCCTTTTTCACATAGTGTATCTTGGAGGTCACTCAGTCCTGGTCAGTAGTTTCCTTATTCTTTGCTTTGTGTAATTAATATAAATAGGCTCCTTTACATGAAAAGTTTGCTGCAATGTACACCCTATGCTTACTCCCTAGGGCCCTAGGTGAAAATTTCAAGGGTGCAGACCTAAACCTAGAACACAGAGTTGTAGGATGTGCACATATTCACTCTGAGATCACAAGTGCCACATTGCTTTCCATGGTAGTCGCAGCAGGCTACCACCAGCAGTTCATAATGTTTTCTAACAGGTTTTCAGAAAGACTTGTTCATTAAGGACATGTTTGTGCATATATATAAGTCTGTAATCCTTTATTTATATATTTATATATATATATATATTTTTTAATTGATTTCAGAGAGGGAGGGAAAGAAAGAAACATCAATGATGAGAGAATCATTGATTGGCTGCCTCTCGCATGCCACCCACTGGGGACCGAGCCCACAACCTGGGCATGTGCCCTTGACCAGAATCAAACCAGGGACCCCTCAGTTCGCAGGCTGATGCTCTATCCACTGAGCCAAACCAGCTAGGACTAAGTCTAAAATCCTTCTGTGTCATACAGATAGAGCACCACCCCAGAGTTGCCAAATATGCTATGGAAAATCACTCCCTCAGGGAGGAGAACAGAAGACTAAGATTATCAGAGTCTGTGAAAAGAGCCCAAGAGGTGGATGCGCAGACCATTGCAAAGCTAGAGAAAGCTTTCCTTCAAGTATCTGGCACAGAGAAAAACGACAAAAGTAAGAAGTGATTGTTGTATACATGCCTTGTTGGGGCGGGTGGCTGTTTTAAAGGCCTTTTATATTGCCTTTAGACTTGGTATGCTAATTTCTTATATATATACTTTTTCTTTTATGTTAATCAAAAGTCATGTTCTATCCTTTTTTCTCAAAAATCACAGAGTAGTAAATAATGTAGGCTAGTAGATGTAGCAAGGAACTACCCATTATATATCTTTGTTTTTGTTCTTAATTTATTGATTGATTAGGGAGAGAGGGGGAGATAAGCATCAATTTGTTGTTCCACTTTTTTATGCATTGATTGGTCGATTCTTGTATGTGCCCTGACCAGGTATCAAATCCACAACTTTGGCCTATGGCAGTGATGGCGAACCTATGACACGTGTGTCAGAGGTGACACATGAACTCATTTTTTTGGTTGATTTTTCTTTGTTAAATGGCATTTAAATATATAAAATAAATATCAAAAATATAAATCTTTGTTTTACTATGGTTGCAAATATAAAAAAATTTCTATATGTGACACGGCACCAGAGTTAAGTTAGGGTTTTTCAAAATGCTGACACACCGAGCTCAAAAGGTTCGCCATCACTGGCCTATGGGGACAATGCTCTAACCAACTGAGCTACCCAGCCAGGGCAATAGATGTCGAGTAACACTCCCTCCACGTTCTGGTTTTGAAATTTTGGCTGGGATCACAGAAATTGGATTACTGTTATCAGACCCTTTTAATGCTTTGACATAAGCGATTTAACTTTTGTTTAGGGAGGGAACATATAACCTTTAATTGTCCTTAGTTTAAGGAAAGCAGTGTTTTCTAGATTTAAGAGATTGGAAAAATGACTTAGCCTTTTTTAAGGAATACGAGTTCTATTGTTGGCCCTTATAAAGCCAACTGCTCAGAAACATTGGTCTATCATACCACTAAAATTATATTAAGACCTCGATTGCTAATTAAGCATTAAAAATATCTTTTTAAAAATAGTATTAAATAAATCCGAGAAGCAAGCACACTTTCTGCCCCCATCCACATTTCCGTAGTAAAACTCCGCCTTAAAGCTCCACCCCTGAAATTCCATCCTGCCTCAGTGAGAAAACAGTCCTTTTTGGCTAAATCAGAGGGAGGGGCCTTTGCTGTTTCAAGATGGCGGCCCCCAGGGAAGCGGCAGGCCATGTGGCTGACATGGCGGCTGCCAGGTCATGTGGCCCAGGCCCAAAGTGGTGACTGTCTACATTGTTCTTTGCAATTAAATTTAAACTGGTTTTTATATTAAAATTTTCGGTTGAGATCATAAAGTTAATTCTCTTTTTTAATCAGACCAATAAGCAACATATTTTGAATTCTAATTATTTCAGAAAAAACAAAAATTTTCTTAAAGATAAATTTTTACTTTTTTAGGCATTTAGCTATCATAATTATACAATTTTTCCCAATTCAATCCGAATCTTAAAACTTTTAGCTGGCAAGTCAAATATTCAGCATTTCTCAATCAGTAACATTTTTAAGAATAAATTGCAAAAATGCAAGACATAATCAACCAACAGATTTAATTCTGTCCTTTAGATTTTGTACGAAGCACACTTAGATCTTATTTAATTCAGTATTATGTCACTTCAAGATACCTAGGTATAAACTCCAAGGTCTTAAATTTTACAGCAGATTTGGAAAACCACACTTGAGGCTGGCAGGGCAGGCCTGGCCCAGCCTCTGATTTTAAAACGACCATAATTTTTTCCTCTGGGGAAGGTCAAGAAACAACCTTGTAGCTACATTGTTTGCCGGGGAAGTTTCAAAATTGGCCTGGGGGAGGAAGGGGGGGGGGCTGTTTTCCCTGGAAGAACAGGTTTGGCCTGCCCTGGACCAATCAGATGTAAATTGACCACATTCTTTAAGAATTTGCTACAGGCAGGAAGCATCTAGCCCCTTTTCTCATTAAAAATGTTTTGGCCAGCCTTTTCAATTAACAAAGGGCCGGTTTTTTACCGGGCTACTTAGATTTTTATAATTAGAGATTTTAATAATTTGAGATTCAAATTCAATTATTTTGAGGCATTTACTTTAGCAAATTTTTGTAACAGAGACAATTTTACTGATTTTCCTTTTAGAGGTCTTAAAGTTAGCTTTGGAACAGGCTTCATTAACATTATTATGGAAAAATACCAATCTTGTTGCTGGAATTTCTACCTTGGGTCAAATTCGCCATTTTCCTTAGGAAATAATCAGTCTTGGGGTTTATTTTGTACATTTGTAAAGAGACTTTTAGCTTAAAACTCTATCTAAATGTCCAAAATCAGACAGTGCGCGCATTAGTTTCAAGCCAGGTTTTCTCTTTACACGTGAACAGAAATCCCAGACGCATTTTTTAAATTTTGTAAAACTTTTTAATTACGAGAAGGAGATTTTAAATTTGAATACTGGGGAGGAGGCGTCCATATAGGATCGTCATGTGCTCCCTTTTCCTTTCCATCACATCCTGCTTGGGGAAAGTTTTAGCAAATGAGTTAGATGGCGTATTTTCCCCAAAGGCATGCTTAATAGAAAAAGACATTTCAAATTTTTTCCTATTTCGCTTTCTGAAGCAATGGCTAGCAGCCAAGGTTATCTTAGCCAAAGTTTGGTTGTCATAAGATGTTCTCCGGTAATTTTTAAATAAAACATTAAGTAATCTCATTGTAGGAGAGCTTACAGCTCTGCCCTCTCCTGCCACCTTTGAATCTCTCCGAACCAGAGAGAGATTCGGCAGCGGGGTTTCATTTCTTATTACAGATAGATTCCAACTACAAATTAAGATTTTAATTTGGATAAGAAAACACATTAAGATGACCATGGCACTATTTTTTTTTTCAGCCTGATCTAAAAGAGTACCTTTTTCATGAAAAACAAAGGTTATGTTCTATAATAACATGCAAAAACTGTAAAAGATTATCTTCTAAAATTTTAACACTTTAAACATGCAAATCAAAAGCCTATAATAAAGTTTCTTAGTTTTTAAAAGCCAAATATACCTTTTTAAAGCCGAATCTACTTTTTTAAAGCCAAATCCTGCCCCGTTTGTTAGCCTGGTTAAGAAAACGTTCCCAGTTACTTACAGACCCGGGCTTCTGTAGTTGATCCTGGGCATTGCGTGCGGTAGAATCCCCCTCACCTTTTTTCGGTGAGTTTTCCACACCTTTTCAGTGAAAACTTCCTTTTCTCGCTCCAGCGAGGCCTGCACTTCCAGATTACCCGTCGGGCGCCAGATGTCGAGTAACACTCCCTCCACGTTCTGCGTGGAGTAGGGTTCGGTATCTGAAAGTGGAGCCGCACAACAAATGAAAGAAAAAGACACGAGATAATTTTGCAATATTGGGGGACCAGGCGGGCAAGTCCCGAAGGACTTCCTCCCAGTGCTTAGGTCTCACCAAGCTTTTATTGATCTGGGATGCACTCATAGCATAGCCCTTAGGCAGGTGACCCCATTAACAGGCAGACTAGCCCATCAGCAAGGATTTACATAATAATAAATGGGAATTAAGGGAACTAAGGTGGGGATGCTTCAGCTATTATTACCTAAATTAACTGGGTGGTTCAGTTCTGACCTTTGCTAGGACTTCAAAGGTTACTAGCTTTTGGGGGTCTCTGTTTAAACTCAGCTAGTGAAGACAATGAATGGACTCCGGCAAATAGATATCTTTGTTTTGTCTATAAAAGATTGATTGGATATTACATTTAATTTTTATGGAATAGAACTTTCCTGTTTTAGTATTTGAAATGACAAATGTTTAAGCACAACATGAATTAATATAGAATTGAAATGTTTACCCACCTGATTACGGTCTGTATGGTGAGAGATGTCGGCGTGATCAGACTCATCACAGAGTTTTTGTCTTGATGTCATGGTTGCTGGTTATGCTTGCTAGTGTGCACTCTGTTAGTTATATGTTATTCCCACAAGTTTACGTATTTTTATTTTATTTTTTTAAATCCTCACCCGAGGATATTTTTCCATTGATTTTAGAGAGAGTGGAAGTGAGAGGGAAAGACAGAGAAAAATATTGATGTGAGAGAAACACATTGATGGGTTACCTCCTGCATGCACCCTCACCAGGTCCCTGGCCAGGGAGGAGCCTGCAACCGAGGTACATGCCCTTAACTGGAATCGCACCCAGGACCCTTCAGTCCACAGACTAATGCTCTATCCACTGAGCCAAACCGGCCAGGGCTATTTTTATTTTTTTAAATTAAATTTTTTATTGATTTCAGAGAGGAAGGGAAAGGGAGAGAGAGATAGAAACATCAATGATAAGAGAATAATTGATCAGCTGCCTCTTGCACGCCTCACACTGGGGATTGAGCCCATAAACTGTTCTGTTTATGACTTCATAAAAGAATAAAATTCTCAGTATTCGAGTATGGAGAGACTAAGATTTTAGATGCAAAGTTAAAAATCGGGTTTTCTGTATTATTTCAACTACTTTTCTCTATAATGCTCTGTATTTTGTTGGCCATTTTGATAGAGAGATAGAAGCATCAACGATGAGAGAGAAACATTGATCGGCTGCCTCCTGCACACTGCCCACTGGGGATCAAGCCCGCTACCTGGGCATGTGTCCTGACCAGGAATCAAACCGGTAACCTCTTGGTTCATGGGTCAACACTCAACCGCTGAGCCATCCTGGCTGGGCTAGTTCCACAAATTTACTTTTACTTTTGTGATGGTGCTTTATTTAGCACTAAATCTAACTTACAGGCTTGGCAGCTATTGGTACTCATACTCTGGGATTTTGTAGGAAGGTCTATGGTTGCTCCATTTTTAAAGTGAATATTTTTATGGTCTTTTATCATACCCTGTCTCAGTCTTTGTTTCTGTTTAGGTTGAAATTGAGAACGTTTTGATTGTATTAATTCTGCACTCATAAAGAAGCGTGTTTGCTTTTTCCCCAAAATGTCCTTTCCAAGCCTTCTTCTGTTCTGTTTATGACTTCATAAAAGAATAAAATTCTCAGTATTCGGGTATGGAGAGACTAAGATTTTAGATGCAAAGTTAAAAATCGGGTTTTCTGTATTATTTCAACTACTTTTCTCTATAATGCTCTGTATTTTGTTGGCCATTTTGACCTCAGTCATACTGTGACTTAGTACCCTTGAAAGATAATAATGGTAATTTCTGGACCCCACCATCTTCAAAACAGACACCACTGTCTAGAGAACTGTTACATGATATTTCACCACTGAAACCCAGTGGGACTCGTCAACATATCCAGTCTTCTAAGTAATCCCTGGAAATGAACTTTTCTTTCTGGTTGGTGATACCAAGTTCTTTCAACTTGCTGCCTTTGCTGTTTGTTTCCTTTTCTAAAATTCATTGACTGTTAACATTAGCTGCTAGTACTAATTCCTGCCAGACTCACCAGCGACGTTTCTCCCTTCAGCATTGTGTGTGTTGTGCTTCAGTCATTGCTGGCTCTGCTCCTAAGGTGTTGTCTTAAAGCTGCCCCGTCGCATCCTGTGTCTTCTCAGCTTCTCAAAAAAACTTCTAGTACTCTTTGCCACACTGTGTTGTTTCTTATGTTTCCTGTTGGGTTATAGGCTCTTGTATTTTAGGGTCCACCTTCCAACCCGTTTTTCATTTTTTCCTCCTTGTGCTTCAAAATGGATACATGGCAGAGAACTTAGAAAATGTATTCTACTATTTTTGTCTTTCAAAAACCAAGTTGTTTCCTTATTATCAGGTCAGCAAGGATTCTCTCCTAAAGTTGCAAAAGAGCCATGTTCATTAGCAAACTCTGAGAAGCTAAAAGCACAACTCCTGCAAATGCAGACAGAACTGAACAATTCAAAGCAAGAGTATGAAGAATTCAAAGAACTAACTAGGTAAAGTATAGATACACATTCATGCTTAACCTATTTTCATATCTTTTAGTGTTTGTTTGTTTTAGGGTTTGACATTGACCATTTAATTGAGCATTTTACTTCAACAATTCTCATATAGCAACTAACTTGTTTTGACATGAGGGAAAAGGGCTTGTTTCTAAGTTTTGTTTTTACTTGTTTTTTAAATTGAGGTGTAATTGACATAAACTTCCAGCTCTTTAATAATACGTATATTTAGCCCTAACCGGTTTGGCTCAGTGGATAGAGCGTCAGCCTGCGGACTCAAGGGTCCCAGGTTCGATTCCAGTCAAGGGCATATACCTTGGTTGCAGGCACATCCCCAGTGGGGAGTGTGCAGGAGGCAGCTGATCGATGTTTCTCTCTCCCTTCCTCTCTGTAAAAAATCAATAAAATATAATTTAAAAAATAATATATTTAATGGACTAGATAATACGAATGTTTTAATGTTGAGATGAGTGCCTATTAAACTTACATAGTAAAATGTTTATCATGCCACCACATTTTAACTACTGTTGTTTTGAATTAAATCTGGATTTTGATGTGTTAATATTCTTTCTAGATGCTCTTTGCAAAAAAATTTATATTATAACAGATTAATCCTCTTATAAAATATAAAGAAATTAAAAAAAATAACAACGCATATAGAACCATCATGGACTGTTTGGGCTTTTTTTTTTAAATAGATTTTGCTCTTTTATTTATTTTTTCAAAGATGTTTTCATTGATTTTTAGAGAGAATGGAAGGGAAAGGAAGAGAGAAACATCTATGTGAGGGTGAAACAATATTGATCAGCTGCCTCCTGCATGCCCCCTATCTATTGGGGATTGACCCCACAACCTAAAAAACCGGCCGTTGAACTAAACTTTTCATTGCACAGGATAATGACACACAATTAACTGAGCCACTCCGGCCAGGGCTGTTTGGGCTTTTGAATTGGAGCTCTGCCATTTACTAATAGAACACCTTAAACAGTAATCAATCTCTGAGCTGTATTTCAACCAATTGGAAAATGAAGGTAATAATCTAAGAATATCTCTGATTTAAAGAGATAACAATAAAGTTATGTGAGAGTATAAACTATAAAGTACTCTATAAATGTATGACATTACTTATTGCCTAAAATACTTAATTTTATAATATCTATTAGGAGAAGGCAGCTAGAATTAGAATCAGAGCTTCAGTCTTTGCAAAAAGCGAACCTTAATCTCGAAAACCTTTTGGAAGCAACAAAAGCCTGCAAGCGGCAAGAAGTTTCTCAGCTGAATAAAATTCATGCTGAAACCCTGAAGGTAGGTCTTCTGAAGCAATGCTTCAGCCTGCAGTCCTGCTGTCTCACTTTGTTAGTAATGGCGTTGGCACAGATTATCTCCAGGTACAGATAGAATCCCTTGCAGGCAGTGGACCCAGTGTTCTGATGGAGGTGGTGAGGAAAGAATGCACCATGGAGTGACACCTGGGTTCAGATTCTCATCTCACTGCCCTCACTCCCAAGAACCCCCCAAACAAACGAACAAACAAAAAGGAAAGTTCTTTTTTTGGGTTTCCTAACTTAATTGCTTTTTAGGTTTTTTAGAGCATTAAATGAGATAATAAAGGGCCAGTCTGGTAGATCTTAGTAAATGGCAGCTATTGCTATAATGTAACATGTGCTCAAAGCTTGCAGAATAGAAATCACAAAGACAAAGACCACAAAGGATCCGGGGTAACAATGTGGAAAACCAGAAGAGGTTTTCCCCTTAATAACCATAGCCTTCATTTAAAAAAGAAAAACTGAGATGAAGGAGCAAGAAAACATGAAGGAAGCAAAAGGTTAAGAAGGTGCTGCTACTGTTGATTTTAGCTTTTTGTGCCAAATTCTCTTAAGATTAAAAACAACAACAACAACTTTCCTTATACATCCTACACTTGATAATAAATAGATGAGTATCTATTGCTGTCCTTAGCAGTGATGTTTTTTGTGTCATTTCATAAGAAACTGCTTTTAAAAGTTATTTTATTTATTTGTTTGAATAGGTAATTCACATGACTGCAATTTTTAAAGGTACAAAGAGTATACAGTGACGAGTCTCTTGCCGTCTGCTGTCCTTCCTCTACAAATGTATGACATACTTATTACCTGAAACCCTCTTTGGAGGCAATCAATGTCACCAAGTCTGCTTTTTGTTTTCTTTCTTTTTCATATTTTATACAAGCAGCATATAATACACAGCATTCTACTTTGATTTTTTGTAACATAATGATACTTTAGAGTTTGTCTCATATCTGAAGGGGAAAAAATAATTTTCTTTTTTGTTTTTGTTTGTTTTGGTGTTTGTTTTGGCAGCTGCAACAAGCATTTATTGTGTTGATATATTATGATTTATTTAACCTGGAAAAGGCTATTTTTTCTTATAAAGATCGAATTTTTTTCTTTGCTTTTTAAAAATTGTGGCCTTTAAAATCTGTGTAGGAAATTATTTTAAAATACTTGCAGAATATTGCCAACTGTTTTGTAATTTCTGTCAGTAGCCCCTTAGCACAGTGCACTTACAGAGCTCGAAGCATTGACACTCCAGTCTGTCTTCTTCCTTTTATAGCTGAGCAGATAGGGAGGAGGGTATTAAAAGCTTTGCCAAGAGTAGCATAGCAATTCAGATCTTTTGTTGTTTGTTTTTAGTTCATTTTTAATTATATCGGTACTTTATGAATATGTTGTTCTTGCTTAAAGTAAATATATATTTGTATGCAAATTTAGGTTAAAATTCCTACTGAGCACCACCACCAATTTGGGTCTGATCTAATCCTTCACTCCCCATCCTCAGGGGTAATTTGTTAATCAGTTTGGGAATCCTTTTTCTTAACAGTTTTGTATAGTAAATATACATGCTCTGAGAAAGATATGTAGAGTTATTTCATAGATTTTCGTTGTTCTTTGCATTTAAAAGTAAATGGATTATTCTACATATGTTATTCTGTAGTGGGCTTTTGTTTTCTCAGAGATGTGACCTGGGACTTTCCACATTAACTAGTACCTAGGACTTTACCTTATTTTAAACCTAGGCTTCCATTTTTGGATGACCCCTGGCTGATTTAGGTGGGTTTTAGTGCAAGCATTCTCTGGGCGGGCGCTGTGAGGGAGAAGTCCCAGGATGTCCCAGCCCTGGAGTCAGTCCTGCTGACATGCCCAGTCCAGCTCTGAGCCCTGTGCCTTCCCAGGAAGTTGGGGAGCTCGCATTGCCCTGCATAGGACCCTGGAACGGGCATTGTCAGCTCTTTAATAGTTGACAGTCTGGTGGGTGAAAAATGGTATCTAGTTAAGGTTTTAATTTTAATTTCCCTCATTTCTGGTGGGGTCACACATCTTCCTGTGTTCATTGTCCATTTATCTGCCTTTTTCTATGAAAAAAGAGCCCATTTTCCTACTACTTGATTTGTAGGAGTTTTTATGTGTTAATCTTGTTTCTTTTTTTTTAAAATATATTTTATTGATTTTTTACAGAGAGGAAGGGAGAGGGATAGAGAGCTAGAAACATCGATGAGAGAGAAACATCGATCAGCTGCCTCCTGCACACTCCCCACTGGGTATGTGCCCGCAACCAACATACATGCCCTTGACCGGAATCGAACCTGGGACCCTTGAGTCCGCAGGCCAACGCTCCATCCACTGAGCCAAACCGGTCAGGGCAATCTTGTTTCTTATACCTAATGCCAATATATTCTGCCATCATGTTCCCTGCCTTTCATCTTCATATGTAATGCTTTTGTCATAAAAAGTTTTAAAATTTTGATACACACAGATTTATTGATTCTTGATCTGTGTGACTTATTTCATTCATTTTTAAAGGCCCAGACAATCTCAAGATCATCAGTATATTCTACTTTCTTTTACTACTTCAATAATTTTGTTTTTATGTTGACCTATTTAATGCATCTGCTATTTTATTTTTGAGTGGTATAGCATAGGGATTTAACTTTTTTAATAGTCTATATTTTTTCACTAATTTGAACTTTACACATATAAATCATTCTGTTTCCTAACTTTGTGTTTTCTTCCAATGTTCTTTTTGACTTCGTATCCTAATAATACACTTTTTAAATGACCATACCCTTATAATGTATTTTTATATTGGCCAGGTAAGTCTTCCCAATTTGTTCTCTTTTTGTCTTCTTACACATTTATTCTTTGCATAAAGTTTGGAATCCACCTATCAAGTTTCATTTTTCTAAATCTTATTAGAATTTTACTTAAGTCTGCATTAAATTGATAGATTATTTGTGTCTACTTGGGCATTTCTGTGCTGCGTCTAAGGGATACTTTATTTTTTCCTTTCATGAATAGAATTTCAATTTTATCCTCTCTGTTTACACAATTATTTTTTTCAAGTGTGCTAATGTTGTTTTCCATAATTACTTTTTGCTGCAGATTATAACTACACCAACCAAGGTTTATCAAATTTGGCCTCGACCAGGATCAAAATTAAGCCCTGAAACAGGGAGCTTGGGGTCTCCGTATACTCAGAATTCTAGCAAATTAGATAATGATATCTTAAATGAGCCAGTTCCACCTGAGATGAATGAACAAGCTTTTGAAGCCATTTCTGAAGAACTTAGGATGGTGCAGGTAATGTTTAGTTTCAGAAAAAATAAATAATGAGACATTCATTTAAACAATTTCCTTTATCATTTTAACCATAATTTTCAATGTTCAAAACTGTTTACTACCTTTTTAAGTATGGGTGTGTAAAGACTCCTGGCTTAGAAACCAGACTGTTCTTATTCTTTTAATTCACTGCAATGTTTAGCAAGTCATTTTCCAATGTCTTTTGGCTTTGGTTCTCTTATATGTAAAGAGACCAGTTTGCCACTAGATTCAAATTCCAGACTGGTTTGTTTATATGGCGCAGTGCTGTATCTGCTAAAGAAAGTTAAAATAGTTGAAGGAATCTTATTTTAGATGAAATTTTAGACCACTTTTGGTATATTTGAAATAACATATAAAATTCGTTTACTTCAGAATTCTGGTGATTTCATTATATTTTTAAGTTTTTCTACTGTATAGTAAAACTTAGAGTGAGTCAGACCATCCCAAATTTCAAAATTTTGCCCTTTCCTGGCATGGAGGCCTTTCTGGTGAAGTCATTCTACATAGCCCTGAGAAAACTCAGAAATCTCAAGCTGGCTCTGTGGCTTAATTTCCAATTTTAATTTAACCACTTCTTTTCCTACGTGTTTCAAATTATCTACCTTGACAGACCACAAGTGTAATTTTGAACTTGTCTCTTTTGATGGCCTTCATTATGAAGTTTATTTTGTCAGATATGAGTATGAGAAATCATTACTATAGTCTTTTGAAATTGTTTTCTGGTTCCAAACTGGCCTTTGATACCTTTGTCCATATAAGGTTTTGAATTTTTTAAAAATATATTTTATTGATTTTTTACAGAGAGGAAGGGAGAGAGATAGTTAGAAACATCGATGAGAGAGAAACATCGATCAGCTGCCTCCTGCACACCCCCCACTGGGGATGTGCCCGCAACCCAGGTACATGCCCTTCACCCGAATCGAACCTGGAACCTTTCAGTCCGCAGGCCGATGCTCTATCCACTGAGCCAAACCGGTTTCGGCTGAATTTTGTTTTTTAATGTGGAAGAAATGGTGGAATGTCTAAGATTTTGACAACTGAAGTTTCTGTGTTGCAGGAACAAATGAGTACTCTGCAGGTCAAGTTGGACGAAGAAGAGCATAAAAACCTGAAGCTTCAGCAGCGCATTGACAAACTGGAGCATCATTCTACACAAATGCAGGAGGTAAGACCGAGAGCATGGCCTCAGAAAGGTGGGATCAGAGTCTCACAGGAAGAATAGGACTTCGCAAAGCCCCCGCTAAGACTGGTTTGAGTTGTTTTCTCTAGTTTGTTACTTCGCATACTGCTCTGAAAGGAGGTGCGCGCGCACACACACACACACACACACACACACACGCACACACACACACACACAGCCCTGGCCCTCTTAGTCTGTAGTGCACGTGGACCCCTTTCTGTTTGTCCAGAAGAAAGTGGGATGACAGTTCAGCTGCCTGCAGGGATCCTTTCCTTTGTTGGGCATCTTCACTGTGGTTGAAGGGAACAGCTGATTTTCTTCTGGTCAGAGACTTTAAAACAGTTTAAAAACAGAGAACGGTAATGGTTTGGAGTGTATCTCATCAGGCCAGTATACCTTTTCCAGTAAATTGATCTCTTTCCCTCAGCTTTTCTCATCAGAGAGAACGGATTGGACCAAACAGCAGCAAGAGCATCTCTTACAATTGAATGTCCTTGAAAAGCAGCTTCGGGACACTCAAACGAAGAATGACTGTAAGTGTGAATAGCTGGGAGCTTTCTAATCTGAATACTGGAATCAGTATCTTTCTACTCATATGGTAAATCTTTTTTTAAATATATTTTTATTGATTTCAGAGAGAGATAGAAACATCAATGATGAGAGAGAGTTATTGATCGGCTGCCTCCTGCACGCCCCACACTGGGGATCAAGCCCACAACCCTGGCATGTGCCCTGAATAGAATTGAACCCTGACATCCTGGTTCCTGTGTTGATACTCAGTCTCTGAGCCACGCTGGCCGGCCGGGCTGTTTAAAGTTTTAATGCTGATTTGAAAGTGCATTGTCTTGAATTTATAAGATGAATAATGTTTTTTGTTAGCCATTTATTTATTTTTTCACTTACAGATGTGAACAATGTTTTAATGGTGATGATATAAAGCGTAAATTATATGTTAGCATATATTCACAGATGTGGGAGTATCATTTGACTCCCAATTTGTTTGTTGTTTTCAGTTTACGTCTCCTTTCATTGAAGTATTTGCAGTATTTTGTAATAATGCTCAAACAAAAAAGACAGCCATTCAGTTTTTTTATCTAAGAAGTTACCTAATTTTGCTTCCAATTGCAGTTCCCTGAGAAGACCAGACATGTCTAATTCATTTTAGAAAGTCCTGGCACATTTCTAAGAGATTTTTTTCAATGAGGATTAGGTCACTTAAATTATGTTAAATATCTTGATTTTTTTTTCTTATAATATAAAGAATTTTGATGCACATATTAAATGTCGAAAATAAGTGACTTACAAGTCAGGGACAGACAGATGTTAATTCTTCCTTTTTTTGTAGAAATATACCAAAAACCATAAACAAAGGAGAGGATGAAAATAGAAACTTTTTCTAGGTATCTACCACTTAGCTGTTCAACATCAACTTTTTTTTAACTGATTGTGTGAAGATAACTATTACATTTATTTGCCTACTTAGTAAAAGTTATGTGTAGAGAGGCCTATTGAGGATTTATTTTGTTTGTCTTTTAGTTTTGAAAAGTGAGGTCCATGACCTGCGAGTAGTGCTTCATTCTGCAGACAAGGAGCTGTCTTCGGTGAAATTGGAGTACAATTCATTCAAGGAGAGTCAGGAGCAAGAACTCAGCAGCCTTTCTGAAAAGCACGTGCATATCCAGCTTCAACTAGACAGTGTCAGGTAGAGTTGTTTCGTTATGGTTGGCCTGGAACCAGGGATCCTTGAAGTGCACATGCTGTAAATCCAACTCAAACTAGTTAACTTTAGAACAAACTAAAAGTTAATTTATTGGCTCAGAGTATTGGGAAGGCTCAGAAGTGATTGTGACTTAGGGACACAGTAGAACGTGTCTCACACAGTGTTGTCAGTGTGCATCTTTCTCTCTGTCTCTTCTGCTCTCTGTCTCTCCCTCTCTCAGTCCCTGCTCCGCTTCCCTCTGTGTTGCCCTCATTCTGTCCTGTTGAGGGCCTTCCTCTGTGTGACTGGGAACAGATGGCCTCGCTGCTCCACATTCTGTCTCCTCATTAACAACTCCTGTGAGGGAATCCTCTGTCCCAGCCACTGCATGTCAATCCCAGGGAGAATTGGAATTGGTCTTGCTGAGTCATCTGCTTACCTTTGAACCAGTCACTTAGCTGAGGGTGTGAGCCTATATTGGCCCAACAATGTGATGTGCCTATTCCAGAGGGAAGGTGTGTTCTTGTGAGAAGAAGGGGCAGGATAAGGGAGACCAATCAGTAGTTATCACCACTGTCCACATTAACTCCCAGGGGCTGGCTGGTTAGTCAAGTGCTGGGAGCCTATATACCAGCAGTTCTCAACCTGTGGGTCGCGACCCCTTTGGGGGTCGAACGACTCTTTCACAGGGATCGCCTAAGACCATCGGAAAACACATATATAAGTACATATTGTTTTTGTGATTAATCACTATGCTTTAATTATGTTCAATTTGTAACAATGAAATTGGGGGTCACCACAACATGAGGAATGGGTTGCGGCATTAGGAAGGTTGAGAACCACTGCTATAAACAAAGTAACCTAAGATGTGAATTGTTTATTTTCATTGTTGTGTTTTTTTCCTGGCTAATTTGAGTCTTTTCTAAAACACGTCTCCTGGGTCTATAGCAGTGATTTAATAATGGATATTGGGAATGTGATGCTGTGAGTGTGATATGAGTGTGACTGCTCAATCTGGAAACCTTCTAATAGACAACCTTGAATTTAATTTTTACAGAAGTTGCAAAAGTTAAAATCCATAGCTCTTGAGTGTTTTCTGAATATACAACAAGGAATTAAAATAGAGGAAGAAAACGAGATCTGCAGGCCAAATTCAACTCTAAGCATGTTTCATTGGGCCTAGCCAGTTAGGTTTTTAAAAATATTAGCAGAGCCCTGAGTGGTTTGGCTCAGTGGATAGAGCATCGGCCTGCGGACTGAAGGGTCCCAGGTTCGATTCTAGTCAAGGGCATGTACCTTGGTTGCGGGCAAATCCCCAGTAGGGCATGTGTAGGAGGCAGCTGATCCATGTTTCTAACTCTCTATTTCTCTCCCTTTCTATAAAAAATCAATAAAATAAATTTTAAAAAAATATTAGCAGAGTGTTTTTTAAAATGAGCCTATTCTTATAAAAATCTATATTTCAGCATCCTCTTAAAAATCAGACAGTTTTGGTGGCATGGGGCCCACATCCCTGCATGGTGACTAGCAGCTGCCCTAGGAGTCCCTCCTTCCCTCTAGAGGGCACTGCAGAGTCAGCACAACCTCTACCACATGCGCTGTTTCCCCAACGCCATTTATCATCGGGTGCACCGTTATTTTTTCCTACACCTGGCATTTGTTTTTAACACCGGAATCACTGAGTCTAATCTTGGCTGTGTCATAAACTAATTCTAGGGGATTTTTTTGAAAAGTCACTCCACTAATCTTATTGGATCTTAATTTCCTCATGTTTACATGTCAGAATTGAACTAAATCTAAAATGTTAGGAATCCACTATATTTGGCTGTGTGTGTGTGTGTGTGTGTGTGTGTGTGTGTGTGTGTATTTAAACTAGAGGCCTGATGCACGAAATTCATGCAGGAGTAGGCCGGCTGGACTCCACCCGTGCATGAATTTGTGCACTGGGCAAATAGTAAATAATAGTCATGTGAATGAAAAGATAGTTCTCTCCCAAGGAGTTTACACTCTTGCTCAGATTGAAGCTACGTTTGCCATCTTGAAAAATCTTTGGAGAGTTTGGAGACTATGTGATGAATGGATAGAGTGGAACTATCAACAAAACTAAATTAATGGCCAGTCTCTAGGTTCTATGAGGGTTAGGTCTGTACACACACCACGCACGTCCCCCCCGCCCCCTCCCTAAATGAAACTCCTAAATGAGGAAGAAGGTGGCTCCAGGCTGACACACCCACTCTCTTTTCTATCACTGTGCTGTGGTTAAGTCTATCTGATGTTTGTGCATCATGGATATTTTACATACGTCTTCGAGCTTTATTTACACCAGTCACGGCTTCTGTAAATTGGGAGTGGTCTGTAGCTGGGATAAGTTGAACTGCCGATACTCCGACTGGACGATTCGTTTTTATTTGTACTTAACATTGCAAAAATGTTTCCTGATAAAGGTCAGAGAATGAAAAGCTTCTTGAGAGCAAAGCCTGCCTGCAGGACTCCTATGAAAACTTACAAGAAGTGATGAAGTTTGAAATTGACCAACTTTCAAAAAGCCTCCAAAACTGCAAAAAGGAAAATGAGACTCTGAAATCTGATCTGAATGTAAGTGAAGGGTATTGATGATCCCTGACTTTGTCCTGGACAGGTGATTGCTCCCTGGAGCTCAGGGCACGCACTGCTTAGACCTCCTCCTAACTTCCTGTGCGGCCTGGCCCGTGGGGCCTGCCACACAGAAGGTACTTGATGTGCTTGTTGACTACACATGGCTGTAACAGTTACTTACACCTAATGTCACATTGTCTTTTAGAATTTGATGGAGCTTTTCGAGGCAGAAAAAGAACGCAATAACAAATTATTATTACAATTTGAAGAAGATAAAGAAAACAGTTCTAAGTGAGTGCTATTTATGTTTTCCATTAGTTAACTAGAATGTCATTTACTACCACATTCTTTATCTTGTTTTTCTTAATTGCTAATGCCCTGTAAAGTTATTTTTTCCAAAGCATTCCCAAAATGAATATCATGTTTTTGTATAAATGGCTATGTAGAGAAACTTAATTTTTTAAAACATTCAATATTTTTAAATGAATAGTAGTGATCAGAACTTGTGGCTTTCTATAAATAAATCACAGTATTTATTATTGGAAAGGGGGGATTGATTTTTATTTCTGTCTGTACTACTACTTTTCTCATTGCTCTTTTTTTTCTCCTGGTCCTTTAATATGAATACTGTCTTCTCTTTCTTTCCAAGTTCTTTTCCTTGATGATCTCTGTCAGTCTCTTGGCCTCAGCCAACCCGATAATTACTACTCTAATGAGAAGAATCTGTATTTGTTTATTCAGCAGCTGCTTACAGAGTTCTTACTATGAGACAGAGTCTCTTCTAGGCCCTGCTATACAGTGATAAAACATCAGTGGATCAAAACATCTGGTTGGGAAACAGTTAACATTTAGTCATTCATTCAAACATTTAGTGATATCCACAAGCCAGGCTCTATTCTGGCAAACGCCAGAACATGCAAAGATAAGACAGAACAAAATGTCCCCATCCTCATGAATTTTATATTCTAGTGCAGAGAGTTAGGTAATAAACAGATACTAGATGTTATATGTTATGTTTGGGGGTCTCAGAGTACTTTGAAGAAAAATAAACTGTTGTGGTATAAAAGTGGGTTTTCATTCAGTAATAGTTGAAGAGATGGGTTCAAATTTCTGATTTGTACTGGAGTACAACGCCTAACACCAAGTTTATGCCTCATAACGTTTAATTGCATTGCATTGAATCTCCTGTACAAATAGACTCAGTTCCTGTGTTCGTTGAATGAAGTCATTAGTAAAAGAACTCTTCTCTTCCAGAGAAATCTTAGATGTTCTTGAGTCTGTGCGTCAGGAGAAACAGAAAGAGATGGTCAAGTGTGAGCAGCAGGTAAGTATCTTGACTCTAACTCTAAAATTGGAGCTTTGTGATTTTTCCTGATGTCGAAAGAGGTTTATTATAACAAGTGTCTCGGCTTTCATATGTTGAAAATTGGTAATAAAAAGATGGAGTGTTTGATTGCTTGTATTGTTTCTCAGCTCTATTTTTCTAACTCCCAATGACCATTATCATATTTTTTTAGTGGCCTCCTGATAGAGACCACAAAATCATTGTCTTTTAATCCAAGTTATTGTTTTTCAGGTAATACTCCTGTACACTATATAATATGAAAAGCAGGTTTTAAGTTTTAAAAATTTTTTGTTTGTTTTATCACTGATTTTATAGAGAGGAAGGAAGAGAGAAATATCGATTTGTTGTTCCACTTATTTATGCATCCATTGGTTGATTCTTACATGTGCCCTGACTGAGGATCGAACCCGTAACCTTGGCGTATTGGGACAATGCTCTAACCAACTGAGTTACTTGGCCAGGGCTTCAGCTTTTAAAAAATCTATGTGTAGTTAACTGTGTAATTTAATTCTTTTTCTAAAAAGATTTTTTTCCCCCCTGTAGATGGCAAAAGTACAGAAACTGGAAGAGAGTTTATGTGCTACTGAGAAAATCATCAGTTCTCTAGAGAAGTCTAGAGATGCTGACAAGGTGGGAGGCAGTTGAAGCTACATCCCTTGGTGTTATCTTCATAAATGTTGCTTTAACCTCCCAGTCTCCTGCTGTCAGGGTGACTGGTAGCTAGCATTTCTGTATGCACCTATGCCTTATGCACCTTCCATGGTTACTAGAGAATGAGGTCTTTTATTTAAGTTAATTTTCCGTATAACTTCAAGAGCAAACTGTTCTATTTCTCTTGATGGCAGTTTCTAAAACACATCCTGTCCCTTTTAACTGTTAGTGTGGCCCTTTCTTTTTGACTCTAAGTCCATGATACAAATTCTCAAATCCCCATAATAAACATAATATTGTATGTCCAAGTATAACACTAGCTATAAATTCCTCATATGTCTACTGTTACTCATTCATAAAACCAAAAAAAGCGATTAAATAAAATGGTATGAAATCCATTATAGAATAAATTGAGAACATTAGTAATGTCATGTGACATATATTCTCAAATGAAACTGACTTCTTTTGTCATTAGGAAAGATAAACAACCTGTCATTTAAAAATGATCTCCTTAATGTCATTGGGTGTGAAGATACTGTTTCTGTTCTCGTCAGGAAGTTGTAACTGACCTCATGAGCCAGATCCAGCAGCTGAGGACGTCAGTTCGTGAGAAAACAGAAACCATAGACAGCCTGAAGCAAGAGCTGAAGGACATCAATGTAAGTCTGTTGCCAGCAATGGATTAATTTGAGCCTGAGACTCACTCCATAGCTTCCTCAGGGGGTTAACAGATGCTCCACCAGGAAAGAGATTCTGTGGTCACATAGATTTGGAAACACTGGTTACAGCTCAACAGGATCTGTATTTGCAGAACCGGCAGAGCCTTTAAATGCTAATGTGAAGTGTGAGTGTATCTGAGTTAAACAGTGGTGCTTGCTCCTTCCCTTAGGTCAAGGTGAGGGTTTTGGTCAGTTCCCCCCTCCTCTGCCCCACATGGAGCTTGCTGCCCTCCACCTTTATTTCTGACGCAGACTCCTGATATGATGACAAAACCAGTGTATTTTCACTGATACCTGTGGGACTTTTCCACTCCTTTTGCCATCCATACATTTATTCTTCCATTCCTTAATTCGGCAAGTATTGATTGAATTAATTGTGTTAATCTGGTCATCACCTTCGAACTCAGACTCATTCTTAAGTTATTTTAATCTAAAAATATAAGTCATAAAGCAGATAGCTTTTGTATCATAACCTTCTTTTCTGCAGTGTAAATACAACTCTGCTTTGGTTGACAAAGAAGATAGCACCGTGTTGATTAAGAGACAGGAAGTGGAGATTCTGGATCTGAAAGAAACCCTTAGGCTGAGAATAATCTCTGAAGATATAGAGGTAATGTTAACACATCATGATCTTTTTTTCTTTATTATTTGTCAATATGTATATGTGTATATGGAGGTTATTAGTGGAATAAATAGGGGATTTTTTAAAAAGGAGGAAGACATAATTAGAGTCCTTTTCCCCAGGGTAGTTAGGCATTAAGAGATAAGAGTAACATTTTTATATTTTATCTAGTCGATTTATTTTCATTCATTTGTGCTAACACCATGGTAAGTTCCTCTAACTGACCTGGGGGTGAGGGTAAGGGAGAGTAGAGTGCAGTTAAATTTCAATTGGGTACCTATATGAATATACTGTCATGTTGATCTCTAGGCCTGTTCACTAGTATTAACTGCTTGGTTTGTCTTGGAATGGATTACCACACAAGCAAAAAAAATAAAAAAATTCTCACTTAAAACTCTCTTAACCTTTTAAAAATCGCATAAAGTAATGATTTGTGAATTCTTATTGGAGAACCACAATTAAGAAATTCTGCTTTTGTGGGGATTTTCTCCTAATAGAGGGATATGCTCTGCGAAGACCTGGTTCATGCTACTGAGCAGCTGAACATGCTCACCGAGGCCTCGAAGAAGCACTCGGCGCTCCTGCAGTCCGCCCAGGAGGAGCTGATCAGGAAGGAGGCCAGGATCCAGGAGCTTCAGCAAGAGGTGACTGCAGGGCAAGGTGCCGCTCCAGATGGGGCCTGGGGCAGAGACTGCCTGTTGTTGAGGTCCCTGCCTTGGCTAGTGGGGCACTGAGGTGGTTGGCGGCTGCTCTGTGGGTTCAGACTTGTTTGGCTGTCTTCCTGCCTACCCTCAACCCTTGACACGTGCCGGCAAGTTCTGGCCGCTGTGTAAGGTTATGGCTGATTGTCATCCTCTTTTTGGCTGCTGCTGTTTCATATTTTGTATTTTTCCTCAGATGATTCTTTGATCATTTTTGAAGCTTAAAAACTGGGTGGTTTTTTTTTTAAGTGTAACTAAATTTATGAGAGAAAGGGAGATGAGAGCAGTATAGTAGTAACTAAAGTATACAGACACAAATGGCAGCCCCAGATTTTACAACTTATCATTTTAAAAATTGCTGTATTGTTTTTTGTTATTATTGTTGTTTTAATATTACTGCTTTTCAAATTATTAATCAAATCCCCCCCAAAATGTAAAAAACCTATTTCCACATACCTTGGGGAGATTGGCTGTTCTAATTGGACATTGGGCCCCATTATTTTCTAACTTGTAACCATATACCTGTTTTTCTCAGTTAAATCTAAAGAAAGAGGAAGTAGAACAGAAGAAGAATGAATATAACTTCAAAATGAGGCAACTAGAACATGTGATGGATTCTGCTGCCGAGTATCCCCAGGTACTTCTCAGAGAAAGTGCATTTCAGGAGGAACAAGGTTTTGTGAGTGATGACAGTTTGGAATTTACTGAGACCACAGCTTTGTCTTTATAGAAAAAGATGTTCACTAACACCTTTTCTGCTTTTTACTTGATAAAAGGGTACCACTGTTTTACAAGATTTAGAATACCAAGCTAACGAGCCTATTTTCTACATGCTTGGCGTGTACATTTAATATGAAATCTTTACAACACCACTTAATCAGGTGTTTGGATGAAATTTTATTTTGTTTTAGAGTCCTAAAACACCACCTCATTTTCAAACACAATTGGCAAAACTCCTGGAAACACAAGAACAAGAGATAGAAGATGGACGAGCCTCTAAGATTTCTTTGCAACACCTTGTAACAAAGCTAAATGAAGACAGAGAAATCAAAAATGCTGAAATCCTCAGAATGAAGGTAACTGGGTAATTGCTTCCGTTAACTTTGATGTTTTTAAATAAATAGTATCTTTCATGGTTCCTGAGGATACAAAATTCAAAGGCACAGAACTAGGGTCGGCAGAATAGTCTTCCTCTCACCTGACTCCCAGCTACTCGTCTGCTGTTCTGGAGGCTCCCCATGCAGCTGGTTCCTTACTGACTTTTTGGAGCTTTTTGTGCAGCTGTAACCATGTCTGAGCATTGTCTCCCTGCCCTTCGGTTTTGATACGATGGTGTCGTTGCACAGGCTGCACCAACTACTCTCATAGTGCTGTCTGATTTTAGATCTTTGCCATTTTGATGGCTAGAGCATGATATCTCATTGTAGTTTTAAGTTCGTATTTTTTTTTAAAATATATTTTATTGATTTTTTACAGAGAGGAAGGGAGAGAGATAGAGAGTTAGAAACATCGGTGAGAGAGAAACATCGATCAGCTGCCTCCTGCACATCTCCTACTGGGGATGTGCCCGCAACCCAGGTACATGCCCTTGACCGGAATCGAACCTGGGACCCTTCAGTCCGCAGGCCGACGCTCTATCCACTGAGCCAAACCAGTTTTGGCTGTATTTTTCTTATTAGTAAGATTGAGCACCTTGTGTTTTTCTGTTTCTGTGATTTCTGTCCTACCATTTTTCTATTGTTGAGCTTTTTCTTATTGATTTGGGGGCATTCTTTATGTATTATAGAGATAGCTTTTGTGTATGATAGTTAAAAAGGCTTGTCTCCTTTTTTTGAGTATGTTTATCTTAAAGCTGGGGACAGTGAAACAAGGAAGGGCTTCAGATAGAAGAAGCAACAGGAGAGAGCCTGTGGGACTGCTGTAGCTCACTGGAGAGTCAGAGGAAAGGGGGCCTTAGCCACAGGTGCAGGGGGTTAGTTGGGGATGAGTGTCACTGTCCCATTGCTCCCCTGGTTTCAAGTCTGTGGTCCCTTAGGGTTTAGGAGATGCATCCCAGTGGGGGAAGGCATGGGCGTGCTCCCTGGATGGAGAGAGTACCATTCTTTCAGATTTCCTCCTGGTGTTTTCACTTGGGGGTGGGGTGAGAGAGTGTTTTCTGTCGCACTGAGGGATGGGAGGTGTGAAGGATTGCCTGGGGAGATGGGATGGAGGGGGAGGAGGGGGAAGGAGGATGCTACACTCCAGCACTTAGCCTGGAAGGTCATTGCTCTACAGGAAGTTTTTGTTTAGGGACAAAGTAAAGTATATGAAGACGGAATGGCTCTTAAGCTTTGTTTCTCGTGGAGGGGTCATGCCTGGCCTCAGTATGCTGCTCTCTCAGGAATGTGACTGTTACCCAGATTGGCATGACCTTGGTACTCTGAAGAAATTGGGTCAGGTTAATAGAAGTTAAACAATAGACAGGGAGAAGTACATCAAAAAGGATACTCCTTGCAGACAAGTATTTATTTCCTCTAGAATCTAGATGGTTATATTTATGATCTTCATTCAGAATCAAATAGAACATTGGTCAAAGTAGAGAATTTCTGTCTTAAGGAATTTTAATGAATCGGTGATACTGATCAGAGACTACGTTTAAGATACTGGTATGAGCCGAAACCGGTTTGGCTCAGTGGATAGAGCATCGGCCTGCAGACTGAAAGGTCCCAGGTTCGATTCCGGTCA